TCTTTCTTCTTGAAATTTTTTTATTCATCTTCTTTATTTTCTTCTTCCTTCCTTAATTATTTTTTCGTTTTTCTCTTTCTTTTGGATTCTTTCTTCCTCATTTTCTTCACATCACAATATTTCTTTTCTTTTTTTCTTTTCTTTTCTCTTCTTCCTTTTAACGTTCTTTATCTTTCTCTTCACTTTAGAGTTTTTCTTCTTCTTCTTCTTCTTTAAACCAGAAGATAGCAGATTTTCCCCCATTTTTTAAGGAACAAGGTGTCCCTTTTTTTAGATGCAATGACCTAAAGGGAAATAAAATTTTCTCAAACAGATGTTTCCGAGCGATTAACATTTATCCTAGATTCCTGGTACAAGAGATTTTTTAAAATACACTAAAGTTCTTCGAATGAACCCAAAACGTTTCTTTCTTTCTTTGTTTTTTTTTTCAATCTCAAAAGAAGAAATCTTCAGTTTTCTCAACTTCCTCTCTTTTTATTAACATTTTCTCTTTTCATCTTTTCTATATTTCTTTTTTTATCTTTTCTTCTTTCAACTTTTTCTTCTTTTCACCATTACTTCTTTTTTATTCCTTTTTTTCTTCTTTCCACCCTTCCTTCTTTTCTTCTTTTTCTTTTCTTTTCTTCTTTACACATTTCTTCCTTATCTTCTTTTCATATCTACTTCTTTCCTTCTTTTCCTCTTTTCTTCTTTCTTTCTTAACTTCTTTTCACCTTTTTCCTTTGTTTCACCTTTACTTCTTCTCTTCTTTTATTCTTTCCACCCTTCCATCTTTCCACCTTTCTTTCTTTCCTTCTTTTCCCCTATTCTTTTTTTCTACCTTTCCTTTTTTTCTCTTCACCATTACTTCTTTTCTTCTATCCTTTTTTTCCCTTCTATCCTTTTTCGGTTTTTCTTTTTTCTTCTTTCCACCTTTCCTTTATTTCACCATTACTTCTTCTTTCTTTTCTTCTTTCCACCTTCTTTTCTTTCTTGCGCTTTTCCCTTTCTTCCTTTCATCTTTACTTTCTTTTCTTTCTTCCTTCATTATTCTTTTCACCTTTCCTTCTTTTCTTCTTTTCATCTTCCCTTCTTTCCTTCCTTTCTCCTTTCCTTCTTTTCTTCTTGTCACCTTTCTTTCTTTTCCTCTTTACACCTTTTATTCTCCAACCACACTTCCTTCCTGCTTACTTATTTCTCGTTTTTTTGTTAATTTCTTTCACTCTCTGATCTTTTTAGAACTCGTTCACTAATTTTTCATCCTACTACTCCTTCTTTTTTCGACGCTCACGTATTATTCCTCTTTTTATTGATTAACTTCTTCTTCTTCTTCTTCTATTTCTTCTTTGTCTTGTTCGTTTTCTTCCAATACTTCTTCTACTCTTTTTTCTTCTTTTTCTTCTTCTTCTACTCTTTTTTCTTCTTTTTCTTCTTCTTCCTCTTCTTCTTTTTCTTCTTCTTCCTCTTCTTCTTTTTCTTCTTCTTCTTTTTCTTCTTCCTCTTCTGCTACTTCTTCTATTTTTCTTTTTCTTCTATTTCTTCCTTTTTCTTTTTCTTCTTCTGTTTCTTCTTTTTCTTCTTCCTCTTCTTCTACTTTTTCTTCTCCCACTTCTACGTTTTCTTCTTCTTTTTCTTGTTCCTCCCTCGTCTTCTATTTCTTCTTTTTCTTCTTCCTCTTCTTCTTCTTTTTCTTCTACTTTTTCTTCTTCTTCTATTTCTCCTTTTTCTTCTTCTTCTACTGTTACTTCTTCTACTTCTTCTCCTTCTTCTATTTTTCTTCTTCTATTTCTTCTTTTTTCTTTTTCTTCTTCTTCTTCTATTTCTCTTTTTTCTTCTTCTTCTACTGCTACTTCTTCTACTACTTCGCCTTCTTCTATTTTTCTTCTTCTTTTTCTTCTACTTTTTCTTCTTCTTCTATTTCTCCTTTTTCTTCTTCTTCTTCTACTGCTACTTCTTCTACTACTTTGCCTTCTTCTATTTTTCTTCTTCTTCTTTTTCTTCTACTTTTTCTTCTTCTTCTACTGCTGCTGCTTCTTCTACTACTTCGCCTTCTTCTATTTTTCTTCTTCTTTTTCTTCTACTTCTTCTTCTTCTTCTATTTCTCCTTTTTCTTCTTCTTCTTCTACTGCTACTTCTTCTACTACTTTGCCTTCTTCTATTTTTCTTCTTCTTCTTTTTCTTCTTCTACTTCTTCTACGTTTTCTTCTTCTTCCTCCCCCTCTTCTACTTCTTCTTCTTCTTCTTCTTCACCCTCCCAACTTCATTACCACTTCGCACTTGTTTCTTTTTTTTACCTCATCATCCCATAACGCTTCTTCTCATCAACCAACGAAACCTTCTTCCAACTTTTTCACTTGACTTCTTTCTTTTTCTTCCTTATCTACTTTCCTACCCTCTCTCCTCTCCCACCTCCTCCTCCTCCTTCGTCAGATTCACCAAAGTCTTTCTTTCTATTAATACTTACATTGATTACATTTCCATGACATTAGAATCCAGAAAACTACAAATACTAATTTTAATTTTAATTTACTATCTCTTCTATTTATCATTTCGCGTGTTTTTCTTTCTGGGAGATGACGTCACTGTGTCTGAAATCACGGCCCGCGTCTCCTTAGCCCCCCCACTCTGATCGCACATCGTGCCTTGAAATTTATAAGTTTATGTTTATCGCTTTGGACTAATTTTCAACAGAATTGCTGGAGTGTTAATGGGATCTTACCTTTTCTATCTGGCTGAGATTCCGACGTCAAAGTCTGTGATTCTTTCTAGACCCCCTATCCCGAAAACAAGCGAAGATGCAAAAAGGGTCAAAATATTTTCCAAATATTTAGAAAGAGCGAAATAAAAGATAATAAACAGATAATCAGGAATATACCAAAAGAAGATTTCTTTCTTTTTTTTTTTAAGAAAAAAAAAATGGTTTTTCTCTTAACCTCCTCATAAGCAATGTATCGTCGTCGTCATCGTCATCACCACCACCATCATCATTATCCTCATTACCACCATCATCATCGTCATCACTACTGCCAGCATTATCATTATCCTCATTATCACCATCATCATCGTCCTCGCCACTACCATCATCATTATCCTCATCACCACCATCATCATCCTCATCACTACTGCCACAATTATCATTATCCTCATTATCACCACCACCAAAACCACCACCACCACATCATCATCATCGTCATCACCACCACCATCATCATTATCCTGATCACCACCATCATCATCCTCATCACTACTGCCACCATTATCATTATCCTCATCCCCACCATCATCATCGTCATCGCCACTACCATCATCATTATCCTCATCACCACCATCATCATTGTCATCACCACTACCACCATTATCATTATCCTCATCACCACCATCATCATCGTCATCACCACTACCATCATCATTATCCTCATCACCACCATCATCATCGTCATCACCACTACCACCATTATCATTATCCTCATCACCACCACATCATCATCGTCATCACCACCACCATCATCATTATCCTGATCACCACCATCATCATCCTCATCACTACTGCCATCACCATCATCCTCATCATCATCATCGCCATCACCACCACAACCATCATCATTATCCTCAAAACCACAACCACCACCATCAGTCATTTTTTACAAATTAGCACTTATCTTCCAAGAGTCAGTCAGTTATGTGCCATGCATGATACACGCTTAGGCGATCATGTATCTTTCGAAACATGACTGACGAGGCAGATTTTTTCCCGTAGTAGGTTGCCATTTCTTTCTGCAGTAAACGAGTTGCCATCCAAGTCTATAGAAGCCGGTCTGTCCTGCTATTTACCCATAGTTGGTGGGGGATAAGAAGAGGATACATACCCTTCCCAAGGGTATTAGCAAATAAGTGAATGTAATGGATACAACTGGAATTCGAACTCGGCTCTCCGGTTCCTCTATCCGAGTAGATATCCATTACTCAGATTCCTCAATCCGAGCCACTTATCCATTACTCCACCGGGCCTCCATTAGCAGTAACACATTTTTGAAAAAAAATATTACCAGCAGTAAAAATGTTGTCAGCATTAAATAACCCATTAAGGTTGATATGCTGTAAAACAAAACAAAACAAACCAAACCAAATCATTATTATCTCCAAAACAATTCTTACACACTAAAATATTTTTCTGGCTTTAAATAATGTGAAAAGGGTTGATATACCGTAAAAAATCAATCAATCAATCAATTTATCATTCAACACCTCCAATACCAAGCCAATAATGTCTCATCAACACCGATCATGATGAACAGTTGTATGCTCTTTGCCTTGAATATCTCTTGGGACCCTAGATCACACCAGACCTCAAGTTGAATTCGTATATAAGATCCATCACTAAAGAAATGCGAAAAATGCGAGCAAAATGCTGTGTTCTCTGTATCTCCCTCTAGAAAATACCTAACTCCTAAATTGAGTATTGCAGCCATATCTAGGCTAGAGCTGCCCCGTCCTCACTTTCTAGCTTTGACATAGTTCAAAAGTGCTTACACGGCCATGTGGGTGATGAATTATTTTCCATCCTCTATCATCTATCCAGGTGGACTGTAGTCAGGATTATCGAGCCAGGGTGAGCAATCCTTTCTTTAGCTCTATTTATTACAACGTTTCGGCCATTGTACGCTCCGGCCTTCTTCAGGTGGTTGGAATGTTGAACTGAACCCTTTATTTTTCTCACTGGGGTAGACTGTTCTAGTTCCACGTGCCATGTTTTAATGGATGTCAGTTATCAGTTATATCCTGTTAATTTCCCTCTGAAAGTTCTCCACTGCCTTAACCGGGTATTGAACTCACACTCTTTGGGTCCTGTCACTGGATCTAGCTAACGCCTTTAGCCACTGTGCCATGTGTCCTTGACAATTTCTTCTGGAGAATTGTTACATTGCGGAACAGACTCCTCGGGGGATACTTCCCCGATTAGTACGATCTTAACCTCTTCAAATTTAGGGTTAAATGTCATATTGCTTATCCTTGTAATATGCATTACTTACTTCTCATTTAGTGAGAAAAATCCTTATTGTCATATTCACGACGTTTCGGCCGTTGTACGCTCCAGTCTTCTTCAGGTGATATATGTTGGAATTTCAAACCGAACACTTTATTTAGTCAACGTGGGTAGATTGTTCTAGTTCCACCTGCCACGCCTTTTCTGGATATCTCAGTTTCAGTTAATTACCTTTAGTAACTGAATTCTCCAAGTTTTTTGTTCACTTCTGCTGTGGCCAGGTATTGAACACACAACTCGCAATGGATAAAAACGTTGGTTGAAGCAAACCACTGACTTGACCCAAAGAGTTTTGATTTCAACAGAGGGTAATTTTCGAAATTCCAATGTATATCACCTGAAGAAGGCCATAGCGTACAATAGCCGAAATGTCGTGAATATGAAAATAAAGATGAGGACAATAATCCGAACAATGTAAATAGTATAAAAGGAAGAGATTTATGCCTTTCCAAATGGTATTTGTGCGAAAGCGAAACAAACAGCTCCATTCAAAATTTGAACTCGGCATGGCAATCCCACTTTCCATGCAGATAGCCTTTATGTTACACACGAAATCCCCGATGAAATGCATATTACAAAAAGCAAAAGATGAGAACAATATACCCTTTATAGCAGTTTTTTTTTTTTTTTCAGATAAGAAAATGCCAAAGGACACATGGCTCAGTGGATAAAAGTGTTTGTTGATTGATCCAAAAGTGACTTAACCCTAAGAGTTATGAGTTCAATCCCTGGCCACAGTGGAGAGAACAAAATCTTGAAGAGTTATCAAGGGAAATTAAGTAAAATGTGGAATTAGATCAATCTACCCCCGTAGACTACAAAAATTGTACGGTTTGAAAATCTAACAAATATCACCTGAAGAGGGCCGAAATGTACAATGACTGAAACGTTGTGAATGTGGTAGTAAAGATGAGGACAACAGTCCAAACGATGTAAATAGTGTAAATAGTTAAAGTACCTCATCTCAGAGATATAGACAGATCCTGAAGAAGGCCAGAGCGTAAAACGACCGAAACATCGTGAATATGGCAATAAAGATGAGGACAACAGTTTGAACGATGTAAATAGTTACAGTACCTCATAAATATACACAGATGAAGAAAATATTATTATGTGCCTTTACACATGGACTTGCATCCTCATCTTCATTGTTATACTCGCAACATTTTGATTGTTGTATTCTCCAGCCATCTTAAGGTGTCTGTCATACTTTGTAACAACATTGGCTGATAAGATGAATGGAGAAATTAACATGCATAATAGGTTTGAAAACTTCCAGAGTAGACCCAGCGTAAAGATGAACACCATCTGTGGGCTTAATTAAGAAAGAAAGCATAATTCAAAATTCCACCACCTGGATTCCGAAATTAGTTTTAAGGTTCCAATATTACACCACTGGATTATCAAGGAGCCGCATTTCCTAGTGAATTTAAACATTAGTCTAGACCTAATCTGGTTTCCAGGGAATTTTGAGTTCTATGCTTTGGTCATGTAATGCTTAAAACTCACATATGCTGCTTCAGTGAATGAAACGGACAATGCAAATGAAAAGTCCTACTGCCCATGTCTAGAGATAATATCATCTGGTTCTTATTTTTAATACAGATCTGTTATTGCTCGCCATTTTCACAGAGTATAAGTACACATTGCCCAGGCCTGGGATTGAACTCACAATTACTACGTCACCAAATTCACGAATCAATGTTTTAATCCATATATTATTAGTTTGAGAATGATCCTTTTCACAGACAAAATGCGTGACTTAGCAGGTTTTTCTTTTTTACAGTTTGCCAACAGGCGTTAATATAATAATCAATGATGCTTACTTGATTTTTTGATGGAAATTATGCTGCAGTTTTTCAAAGACATCTGCCTGTTTGGCACACAAGAGCTGAAAGCCATTGTCCGATGAGTTCTTTGACGATAATGTCAGCTGGTTCTCCACAAGCGGACAAGAATCCCAATAACGCAGACGTGGAAAGACTCCGATCATTTGTTTCCTACAAGAGAAGTTAGACGAAATGAAAGTTGAAAATATGCCAGAATTTTAGCGAAACATGGCACATGGAAGGAAATGGATGAGAAAGATTGAGATAAATCTACCAAGTTGGAATTGACTGCCTAAATTGAAAGAAAGGTGCCATAGTCTTGGATAATGGTACACAATTCACTGCTTACGGATTTAAAGAATTTTACAAAATGTTCTCGATTGAACATATTACTAACACACCCTATCAGCAAAGGTCAAAAAGACAGTCTGATGGTTTGTGGGTAATTTAAGAGCTTTGTAAAAGGCAAGTAATGAAGAATTAAGCGAAGAAACACTACAAAAATTCTTGAGAGTATAACTGCTAATGCCGAATCCCAATACACCATCAGGCATGTCACCGGCAGGATTGATGTTCACAAGAGAAATTAAATTTGCCAGGTCAAAAAAGAATAAGAACAGATAACAAAAAGAACACAAAATTATTCAAAATTGGTGATAAAGTGTTTTTCAGGGTATATAAAAATGGAAAGGTAATGTGGGAAGACAGCGTGACAAGGTCACGAATTGGAAAAATGATAATGGTAAAAGGAAAAAAATGGGAACACAAAAGGTATTGGAATCAGTTAAAGAAATGGTTTACTGAAGAAAGACCTGTAAAAAAGGAAGAAACTATGTGTTGTGGAGTTATTTCGCAGTGGAGGCTTGTATTTGTACTAAATCGGTCCTAAATTGGTTCGACGTACAAAACGTTAGGAACTTGATATAATAGGTATTACGCAGAGTAATCTTGTTGCGGTCGCTGACTACTTTCATATTCGACCAGCTGTCGACTACTGTCGTCCGACATCGACTGACCCTCGTTTCTCTTACTACTCCTACTTATATTAGGTGGGAGAGTCTATTAACTATAGAATAGGTGTTTTTCCCCATAACACTATGGAAGTATTGTATGATAGTTTTGACATACCAACACCCCAAGAATTCATCGAACATACTAGGACGATTATCAGAAAAAAGAAACATACGAAAAAATTAGAGGCTGGCTCAAAACAAAAGAAATACAAGGTTCGGTAAGTGGCAAACTCTCCAGCAAGAGGAGGAGGTGAATACGAAGAAATAAAATAAAATATTTACAAATAAAAAAAATCTCAAAACTGGAAATGTTGTGGAGTAAATAAGAAACCCACGGTAATACAAATGAACTAGGCGAGACGCCTTAGATAAAGAACTCCAAGCGAATCAGAGCAGTCTGACCCAGGCTCGCGACAAGACAAGACAAGCAAGACCTCTGTCTTTGAGTAGAGGGTGACAAGACCTACCTCTTCGAGCGGAGGAGGACTCAGGATCTGTCTTCAGATAGAGATTTGGCTGAGAAAAACTGACCAGTTCTGTACCCGGGCCCGCTTTTGCAGGGCCTAAGTAAATTTTGACCAGTAGCCCGGGTAGAAACACTCAGATTCCCCATGGTAAACTGGACCTTGTGTCGAATCTAGTCTGCAGTGGGGCAACCTGTAAATACCAGTTCGTCGAACTCTTTGCCTGCAGAGAGGAACCCAGATGAAGCTATGGCTATGGGCAAGCCCTCATTTGGGGAGGTAAAAAAGCTGACCTCGTTTATGGGGAATTTATGCGCCCCACATAAAAATCGGCCTTGTACCACATCCTGCTTTGCGAGGAGGTTGGTAAAATACTAGTCCGTTGAACTCAGTCAGGAGAATTTATAACAGACATCACAGCAAGTAGCCTAAGACATAATATTGTAACCGCTAGAAGGGAGTTATAACAGAAGGTTATGTTATCAGACAGAAAGAAAGAAAGAAAGAAAGAAAGAAAGAAAGAAAGGACAAGTAATAAATAAATAAATAAACAGGTTGTTATCACTCAGAAAGAAAGAAAGAAGCTTATGTTATTGTACCAAAAAGAAGAAAAAATGATCAAGAAAGAAAGGAAGAAAGTTATGTTATCGGAAAGAAAGAAAGAAAGAAAGAAAGAAAGAAAGAAAGAAAGAAAGAAAGGACAAGTAATAAATAAACAGGTTGTTATCACTCAGAAAGAAAGAAGCTTATGTTATTGTACCAAAAAGAAGAAAAGATGATCAAGAAAGAAAGAAAGGTATGTTATCGGACAGAAAGAAAGAAAGAAAGAAAGAAAGAAAGAAAGAAAGAAGCTTATGTTATTGTACCAAAAAGAATAAAAGATGAGAAAGAAAGGAAGAAAGAAAGAAAGAAGATTATATTATCAGACAGAAAAGAAAGAAAAAAGAATGAAAAAAAGAAAGAAAGCTTGTTATAAGAAAGAAATTTAAGATTGAGAAAAGGAATAAAAATCTTAAAGCAAATGTAAAAAGAAAGCAACTAAGGAAATGAAAGAAATTTTGAACTAAAAACAATTCGAAGCATTTCTTGGGATAAGACATTAAGAATGGAACATCCTTCATACCAAAACACTTATTATCATAAGGTTGGTTGCAATTGTTGCCTTTTTGTGAATTCAAAGAAGTTCTATTGCTCAGGAGGAGAAATAACTATCTAACGAAAAGGATGGTTTGAGTTTTGAGTGCAGTCGTTGTCTACCTCATGTCTTCTTCTTCAGCAGATAAAGGATTTCCATGGAGTGTAAATCGCTCCACTTGTTTGCAATTTGAAAAAGCTTTCATAATTTCCGCAAAATCTGAAAGGAAATAAAATTAAAATCAAACAAAGCAACTGATGAAGATTTGCATTATGGGAAAAAAATTTATCAATATCTCTTCTTTCAAATGACAAAAATATCATGAGACAGGCCATATAAAAATGAAAGAATTACTCTTAGTAGAAGAGTCCCACACCCAGAAATAGAGATTGAGGATATGAGAGGGATACAAACATAGATAGATATGAACAGACTGAGATAGATAGATAGATAGATAGATAGATAGATAGATAGATAGATAGATCATAAACAGACATAGATATGAACAGACTGAGAGAGATAACAAAGATAGATATGAACAGACTGGGATAGATAGGTAAATAGATATATAGATATAAGAAAAAATTATTAGATCACATGAGAAATAGTATAAAAACCTAAATAAAAGTACCTTGTCTGTTGAATTCAATGAAATTTTAATGAAAGAAGGAATGCTGCCTATACACACACACACACACACACACACACACACACGCGCGCGCTTATATATATATATATATATATATATATATATATACACTGTGTTATTTGTAAGAATTACTTACCTAGAAGTTGATTGTTAGCTATGTCAATCATTTTCAAAGAATGAACATATTCCATTGGAGGAAGTGCCGAAAGTCTTTAGAAAAATGAGAGAAAAAGATTCTTTTATGAATGCAAAGAACTTGCCATTAAGTGTCAAAAGACAAACTGCATGGTCGTATGCAAAAGTGACAGTCCAAGATGTGAATTACATATGAGGTATGTCAACATCAATCAGAAACAATTATTTAACTGTGTACTGCAGTAAAAGATGATGGAAAATGAGAGAAAATTCCAGATATTGGAAGTTGTCCCATAAAGCAAAAAAAAATGTTAAACTTCTGTCCAATATTTAATCTCCGATGTGACAGCAAATGCAGGACACTCTGCTCACAGATAAAGAAAAAACATAACATGAAAGACATGTCGTTCTACCAAAGAATAACATGGACTGAGCATGTGCATAAAAGGAATTTTTAGACTGTGATTTGAATTGGACCACCCATATTTATTTTTACTTTAAACAGTATGTATTACGCCTATCGGCCTGTGCATTCAAGAAATCTCAATAAAGAAAATCTGCTCTCCAACAGGAACCAAATCTCTGCCCCACTTTCTACGGGAACCACTATTTGATCTGGTATGCTTCACCAATCAGCCATGAAGAGTGCCATATTTCAGCAAAATTCTATTTTGCCTTTTGAGGTAAGCACATACTCTTCCATCCTGGGTATGACGATAAACTACATCTGCATCTTGGGTAAGACGGTAAACTACATACAACAGCAAGACCTCTGATCAGGTGGTTTTAAGGAGCGTGAAACCATCTCTTAATTGCTGGTGTTCCCAGGTCCACCCTCACCCGGGGTGGTAGCACCTGTTCGGGTCTCAGCTATGAGCAAATAGTTAACCCTGAAACTGGGGTAAAAACACTATGAAGGTTTAAAAATAAGTTTTAATACCAGAAAAACTTTGTAAAAAAAAATTATTACCAGCAATAAAGTTTTGAAGAAAAAACTATTTTGAAAAACTATTACCAGCTATACATTTTTGAAGGAAAAATATTACCAGAAATAGATTTTTGACAAAACAAAAATATTACCAGCAAAAAAATTTGACGGCATTAAATAACCCATTGAAGTTGATATGCCGTAAAACAAAATAAACCAAACCAAAGAATATATATTCTATTCATACGAACCTATCCTAAAAATCTTGTCGGCATTAAATAACCCATTGAGGTTGAAAGGCCATAAAACAAAACAAACCAAACCTTACAAAGAATATATATTCTATTCATAGTAATATATTGTAAAAATCTTGTCGGCATTAAATAACCCATTGAGGTGTTGATATGCCGTAAAACAAAACAAATTAAACCAAACCAAAAGCCAGTCATTGGAAGCTCATAAGTTCAAAGGTTACCTTCTCGAAATATTGATGCACATAAGTTCAAGGGTCATCTTTTCCTGAATATTAATTATCTGCCCAAGAGCATACGTTGAATATTAGTGAATATCTATGTGGATCACAAAACAGTTTATGTGTGCGTGACTGAGTGATTAAAACGTTCGATTTCTGACCATGAGACCCGGGTTCAAATCTCACCTTGGTTGATTGGTGAGGACTTCCTGATGCTATCAATCTGGAGCAGGCGATCCCAGTGCCTGAAAACCATACCACGGGTTGGCCCAAGCGGATGATACAACATTTTATGGGTGCGCGGCTGAGTGGTGAGAACGTTTGTTTTCTGACCATGTGACCACTTTTCGAATCTCACCATGGTCGATTGGTGAGGACTTTTGACGTTATCAATCTGGAGGAGGCGTTTCCCAATGTTCGACACCTTTGGAAAGTGCCTGAAAACCATACCATACTTGTGAGGTAAGCACATACTCTTCATAGGAAGTTAATCTATTGGGTTGGTGCAAAAATAATGACGTAATAATGTCGTTTTTGACGTTAAAAAATACGTCAAAAACGACATTATTACGTCATTATTTTTGCACCAACCTAATATTTAGTTTTGATGTTCAGATCAATTAGATCACCTGATTCATGCCAGATTGAGTTTATCACCTAATTCACACCAGTTGTTTACATCAAGTGAAGAAGATTTCCAAATGAAACAAGTTTGGTGATGAGATAAATTAGATCACGTTATCCTTGCAAGATAAGTGAATTGATCCAGACCAGATGTCTAGATCAAGTGAATCACCCTATTAATCTGATGCCCATATCAAATAGATCAACCACTTCAGACCAGGTGTTCAAATCAACTGTGTTGCATAATCCAGACAAGATGTCCAGATCAAATGAATCATGAACATATCAATTAGATCACCAACACCAGAGCAGATATCAATTGTGCTGTCTGATCAAGTCCAGATATTCAGACTAACTACTTTGCCCAAATCAGATATCCAAATAGAGTGAATCATCAGATTCATCTGTTGGATGTATCAATTAGAGCACCCACTTCAGACCAGATACATAGCATAGCTCAATCAAAACCAGATGTTCAGATTGAGTGAATAACCAGATGCCCAAATCAACATATTCATCTGATGGCCATAACAATTAAATTAACAACTCAAAACAAGCTGTTCAGATTAATTAAATTGTTCAATCCAGAAGAGATGTCCAAATTGTGATGCCTGATCCAAACAAGATATCCAGATGAAATGAATCGCATTACCAAGACAAGAAGTCCAGATCAAATAAATTTTCATTATCTGTCTATATTTCTGAGATGAGGTATTATGTACACTATTTATATTATTTGGACTATTGTCCTCATTTTGGTCGCCATATTAATTACAACATTTCGGCCCTTCAGTGTCTGTTTATATTTCTGAGATGAGGTATTATGTACACTATTTATATTATTTAGACTATTGCCCTCATCTTTGTCACCATATTTATTACAACGTTTCGGCCTTTCAGTTTCGGTCTATATTTCTGAGATGAGGTATTATGAACACTATTTATATTATTTGGACTATTGTCCTCATTTTTGTCACCATATTTGTTACAACATTTCGGTCATTGTAATAAATATGGAGACAAAGATGAGGACAATAGTCCGAATAATGTAAATAGTGCAAATAAATCTTCCCTTTCATCTGATGACCATATCAATTAAATCACGCACTCCAGAGAACATGTTCAGACCTAGTGACTTATCTTATCATAACCAGATGCCCAAAGAGAATGATTCACCCTTTTCATCTGATGACAGTATAAATTGGATCACTCACTGCTGACCAGATGATCAGATCTAATAAATCCCCTTATCAAGACCAGATGTCCAAAACAAGTTAATCACTCTTTTCATCAGATGAGGATATCAATTAGACAACACATTTCTGACCAGATGTTCAGATCTAGTGACCCCTGTGTATAAACCAAAAAAGATAGTCAGGAACATTAACAAATTCATCTATATAGAAGAGTATTATAAAAAAAAAGAATGAAAATATATACACTGTACATGTTAAGTATCACTTAGCATCAGATATTGTACATGTAGAATGCATATATTTTCTACTTTGATTTATACTAGACTAGCAGTATGGCCCAGCGTTGCCCGGGCTTGATTCAGAAATTGTACGACACATACAGTAATCGCTATCACTTGACTTAAAATATTTTTGCCCTTCCTTGCCTTTAAAGGAGTGCCCTTTGCCATGCTGATGTTGCTACATGCCATACTTCTTGCCTATCTCACACTGCAAATTTTTTCTAAGCTCCATTACTAAACATTAAATCTGTTACGAAAAAAGAATTAAACAAAATGAACACAAAACGATCAGCTTTAAAAAAGGACTCGTAACTGGAAAAACCGCATGAAAAAAGAATGTTAACCACAAATACTTTTTCACGCCCAATCCAGTTCTGCGGAATCAGAATCAACGTTGAGTTTAAGCAAGCGAATGAACCAATTGGAGCAAAATGCCATGCAGATTTAAATTTTTCCCACTTGTGACGAATGTAGCTATCGATTTTTTTTTTTGCATGCTTGCATGCTAGCATGCTAGTTAACATTCGTGCCAGTCAGCTGTTGGCTCTCACGCTGGCCAATAGAATCTTTCTGCCTATTCGTGGCAGCCAGCTATAGGCTTTCACTCTGGCCAGTAGAAAATGGCCACAAACTACATGAAAACTGCCGTAGAAGCATGAAAAAATCGATTATTTCCACTATCGATGGGAGTTGGGAAATGCAAACTTGGAGCATGTGCATGTAAATTTTGGTGCAAATCCATCGAAAATTGCAGCCGTGCATTCGTTACACACACACACACACACACACACACACACACACACACACACATCCTGCCTTTTATTTATACTAGATCTCAGATAATTGCCTGGTAAGGTATCATACTTAACAGAATGCAAAAGGACAATGTAATAATAATAATAATAAATGCCTTTATTCTCACCCTAGTATAGTTCTCATGGTTTCTGATCTTAACTGACTGGAAATTGATTGATACATTTTTTTATGGCTTATCAACCCTTTGCAGTTTATTTAAAGCCAGAAAATATTTTTTTAGATTGTAAGAATTTTTTTTTTTTTTTTGAGATAATGGTTTGTTTTGATTTGTTTTACGGCATATCAACCTCAATGGGTAATTTAATGGTGACAAGATATTTATTGCTGGTAATATTTTTCCCCAAAAATGTATTGCTGGTAATAATCATTTTCTTCAAAAATTCATTGCTGGTAAAAAATTTTATAAAAATGTATTGCTTGTATTAAAACCTATTTTTACACTTTCATAGTGTTTTGACCCCAGTTTGGGGGTTGACTATTTGCCCATAGCTGGGACCCTAACAGGTGCTTCCACCTGGTTCCAGGCTCCTCAAAATATCCTGATCAGAGACCTTGCTGTTGAATGTAGTGTATCGTCTTACCCAGAACACTGATGTAGTTTATTATCTTACTCAGGAGGTAGTTAGTGATAGAAGTCTTACTATTCAAAGAAGATGTCAATTCATACTTTTCTCAATGAGTTTAGCTCTAAGTGAATATAACCAACCCATTGAGAATTGGAACAAGGCTCTATGATTAACAATTCAAAGTCATTGTACACATCCACACATCAAACTTACAGCACCTGTTATTCCCAAGCAGTCACCCATCTAGGTACTGACCAGGCTTGACGTTGCTTAACGTCAGTGATCATATATGAAATAGTGTTTCAGAATTGGAAATGTGCTGTAGAGTAGTTTCACAGTGGAGGCCAGTATTTGTACTAAGTCGGTCCTAAAGTAGGTTCGACGTACAAAACGTTAGGAACTTCATATAATAGGTAAGACGCAGAGTAATCTAGTTGTGGTCGCTGATACTTTAGTATCCGACTAACGGTCGTCCGGCATTGACTGACTGACCAACTTCGCCCTGAGCGACTCCTACTACTCCTACTTATTATAGGTGGGAGTGTCTATTAACAATAGAATAGGTGTGTTTCACTATAACAAAGTGTTAATGCGTAAATGTCTTGAGATAGGCTACAGTAAAGATCCCATTTACTAACACAGACATGCTTGTGTGTCGCCTCACCTTAAGTTGGGCGTGTCCATTACAGACTGATGTACTGTGCAACAGAATCCACAAGCAAGAGTAGTCAGGGCCCATAATAACGATGCATTTAGGGTTGATTTTAAATATAAAAGATGAGGCAGCCAGAGCAATTTGGGAGATTTGGGAACATTGTCAATCAAAGATGTTCTGAGTGGCATTGGTCACTCAACATGAAGCTATTTCTAACTGCAAGCATATTTGTTGCTTTTATCAAAACCCATTAACACATTACATATATTTGGCTATGATGCATGTGCTTGATATACCCTTAGCAGACAGGGTGCTATAATGGATATATTGGGCCTTGTATATTTGTACTCCGGCATTATGCTGTTAGTGGGCTGCTTGCTCACTTAATAATAATAACAATGGCAATTCTTACCTGTTTTGTCCCAAATTAAGAACTCGGAGAAGCGGCAACCAGCATTCCGACAGTTCAGTCAGAGAAGATAAACAGTTGTCTGATAATTGCAAGTCTTGCATCAATACATGATTCTTGAGATTTGGGGTCTGGAAAATTAAGAAAAGGTAAAACTGGTGAGTGTCCACGCAAGTAACAAGATGTATTGCTTATCATTCTTTCAAGCCATGCTCTTTTTTAAATATATTTTTCTCTTCCGCACTCTCTCTTTCTCTCTATCTCTCTGTCTCTGTCTATTTTTTGTTCTTACTGTCTTGTATCCCCCTCTCACAATCTCTACTTCTTTCTCTTTCTCTCTGCTTTATTCTCTTTTTTCTCTCTTTCTCTCCATGTTTCCTTTATTTCTTCTTGCGTGCACACTATTGTTCTCTCTCTCTCTTTCTTTAGTCTTCTCCCTATATATCTCTTTTTTCTCTCTTTCTCTCCATGTTTCCTTTATTTCTTCTTGCGTGCTCACTATTGTTCTCTCTCTCTCTCTCTTTCTCTTTAGTCTTCTCCCTATATCTCTCTTTTTTCTCTCTTTCTCTCCATGTTTCCTTTATTTCTTCTTGCGTGCTCACTATTGTTCTCTCTCTCTTTCTCTTTAGTCTTCTCCCTATATCTCTCTTTTTTCTCTCTTTCTCTCCATGTTTCCTTTAGTTTCTCATGTGCTCACTATTATCATCTCTCTCTTTCTCTCTTCTTTATTCGCTTATGTCTTCTCTCTATATCTATTTTTTCTCTCTTTCTCTCCATGTTTCCTTCTCACGTGCTCACTATTATTCTCTCTTGTCTCTCTTCATGGTCTCACTTTCTTTCTTTTCGATGAATATCTTTCTTATCACTGTTTCTGTAGTTATCTTTTTTCTTTCTTTCATGCACCCTTTCTTATTCTCTCTCTCTCTCTTTTCTTCTCATTGTCACTATGTCTTTCTCTCTCTATCTTTCTTTCCTTCTCACTGTATTGATTTTGTACCTTTCATTTCCTCTTCATTGCTTCTTTCTGTCTCTCCCTTTTTTTATTTGCGTCTTTTTCATTATCTCTATCATACCCTCTATTTACTATCCTTCTCACAGTCTATTTATCTCTCTCCCTGCTTCTCTCACTTTTCCATTATCTTTCTTTCTCATTGTTTCTCTTTCATTCTCTTTCTTTCATTCTTTCTCTCCCCACGTTTTCTGTTTCTTATTTTCTTTCTTTTTCTTTTATTTATATATATATATATATATATATATATCTTATGCTTTGTAAATTCACACACTTTATAAAAGCATTTATCTATCATCTACAAGATTGGTTTGTTACATTCACTTACACGCAAATACCCTTAGGAAGGGTATGGATCCATCTCTTTTTTAGCCAGCTATTGGTTGATAGCAAGACAATCTGGGTCCTATAGCCTTGGTTGTCAACCAGTCTACCACAGAAAAAAATGAAGGCTACTGTGGGAAATCACCTGTCTACTCAGTTAATAATCAAAAGAGACATTATTCCCGACAAGCGTGTATCCCATATGTCACTTGACTATATCAACAAATAACAATAAACATCATATTATGAAAAGAAAAACAAAAATCAACTAAGTTTTTTTACCTCAATCAAGTTATTACCAGAAACGTCCAATGATCTCAAAAGGCAGAATTTTTCAATGTCCGTTACATACTGTAATTGATTATGTGAAAGATCCAATGTTTGTAGTTCCACTCCCCCAATCTGCAAGCCTGAAGTACTAATAAGTTGGTTGTGGCCAAGTAGTAAAGTGTGTAACCGTCGAAGGGACTTCAAACCAGATCCTAAATGTTAAGAAAGAAATGAAAAAGGAAAATATGGTTAATAAAAATAAATACCATATATATTTGCATATCATATGACCTTAATGACTTAAAATTGAAGCTAATTTGACTACAGTAAATGAATAGTTTGGTCAATGGCATAGCCAGACCCAGCAGTACCTATACTAATTTTATATCTCATGTATAATGTGACCCTCTTAAAATTAGCTTCATAATTGTCATCAAAAGTCACATGATACACGAGTATATACAATATATATGTATATAGCATATACAGTGGCCAAGAAATGGGGGATGAGTTTAATACTAAAGAACAATACAACACTGATCTCCCACTTTCTATCATTCTTTCAGTTGATTAACTATAAGGATGTTTTGCAATTTTATCTTTGGATCTATTATGGCCAAGAAATGGGAGATGTATTTAATATTAAAGAACAATACAAAACTGATCCCCCACTTATTACCTTCCCTACCTTTGATTATAAGTATTTTTTAGTTAGCATATATACTTGCGTATCATGCAACCCTTGAGTCTCTGATCAGGAGGTTTTGAGGATCATGGAACCACTTGCTGGTGTTCCCAGGTCCACCCTGACCAGGGTGGTAGTACTTGTTAGGGTCCCAGCTATGGGCAAATAGTTAACACCCAAACCTGTGTAAAAATAGATTTTAATACTAGAAATACTTTGTAATAAAAAACAAATTATTCCCAGCAATAATTTTTGAAGGAAAAATTATTATCAAGAATACTTTTTAAAAAATACCAGCAATACAAACAACTATACATTCTTTGAAAAAAATTTACCAGCTATAGATTTCTTCAAGGAGAAATATTCCCAGAAATAGGTTTTTAAAGAAAATCATAGCAAAAAAATTTTGTCGGCATTAAATAATCCATTGTGGTTGATATGCTGTAAAGCAAAACAAAACAAACATGCAACCCTTGAAGACCTAATTTTAAAGCTAATTTGACTACAGTAAATGGATAGTTTGTTCAATGGCATAGCCAGAACCAGCAGTACATATACTAATTTTATATTTCATGTATAATGTGACCCTCTTAAAATTAGCTTCAGAATTAGGTCTTCAAAAGTCACATGATACACGAGTATATACAATATATATGCATATAGCATATACAGTGGCCAAAAAATGGGGATGATTTTAATATTAAAGAACAATACAAAATTGATGCCTCACTTTCTATCATTCTTTCATTCAGTTATTTATAAATTTTTTTTGGGTGGGGGGATTTCAGCTATGAATATATCATGCCCAAAAAATGGGGGATGTGTTTAATACCAAAGAACAATAAAAAAAAAACTGATCCCTCACTTTCTATTATTTCATTTGATTGCCTATAAAAATGTTTTGGAATTTCATCTATGAATCTACTATGGCCAAGAAATGGGGGATGTGCTTAATATTAAAGAACAATACAAAACTGATCCCCCACTTTTTACCTTCCCTTCCTTTGATTATAAGTTTTTTTTAGTTACTGTATATATTCGCATATCATGTGACATTTGATGACCTAATTGTGAAGCTAATTTGACTACAGTAAATGGACAGTTTGGTCAATGGCATAGCCAAGACCAGCAGTACATATACTAATTTTATATCTCATGTATGATGTGACCCTCTTAAAATTAGCTTCAGAATTAGATCTTCAAAAGTCACATGATAAACAGGTATATACAGAAAACAGAAAACATGTTTTGTCATTATGGTATGTATTATTCTGTCCAAATTATTTTGATAAAGAGTTATCAATACTTACATTATTTACAGGTGGACTATTGTCTTTAACTTTATTAGTATCTTAGGGTTTACCCCACTTGGCTTCACCAAAATCGCCCATTAGGCAGTGCTATTTAAGTCTATAAAAAGGCAAACATTTCCTTCTCTTTCTCTTTTTTACTTCTCACTCGAAGATATAGCAGCTCATAGATGAGAACGCCTGCTGAGGTAGATTTCTTTCCGCCAATCAATTTTGCTATTGAACTCTCTCAGTTTTATAGTGGAACACACCTATTTTATAGTTAATAGACTCTCCCACCTATAATAAGTAGTAGTAAGAGTAACAAGTCAGTCGCTCAGTGGGTCAGTCAGGCTGACTGGCTGATCGGTTGAACTCTCTGCCTTCGGGCGGGGAGGAACTTGAATGAGGTTACGCCGAAGGGTGAAGTCTCTTTCGGGGAGGTAAACCGACCCTGAACCTATTTATACGGGTTGAAAGGGCATATTTTCGACCGAGTCCACATGCTCAGAGATCTCACGTTGAACCAGCCTTGTGCCACATGATGCCCTCGTGCGGGGTGACTAAATACCGTCGCTCAGTAGGGCAGTCAGTCAATGCCAGACTACCGTTAGTCGGATACTAAAGTATCAGCGACCACAACTAGATTTCTCTGCGTCATTACCTATTATATCAAGTTCCTAACGTTTTGTACGTCGAACCTATTTTAGGACCGACTTAGTACAAATACAAGCCTCCACTGTGAAACCACTCCATAACACTCAGACGCATACATCCACACACGTGTGGATTACACACGCTTGTTTCACACACACACACACACACACACACATTCTAAGAGCTAGTTTTAATGTCTTATCCTTTGATTTCAATTGTGTACAGATATAATTCCTTTTGCTAGCAACACAAATTAATTGTCGTTCATTTTAAACTCAATTTTTTTTGCATTATTTTTACCTGGACTCACATGAATCCACTAAATATTGTTTGCTGAACAAATGCACTAGGAGCTGTAACTATTTGCTGAAAGACAGCCACACCTTGCAACAAAAGTGGTAATTCCTGCCACAATCATGTTTCAGCTGTTGTACCCTCTTACTCTCAAAGGGGCTTGCCAATCCGAATAACCCCACAGGGAATTTTGAACTGAACCCTTTCTTCTTAATCTACACAGCTAAGTTGTTCTTGGTCCAGTGACCATGTCTAACGATATCTTTTCTCATTCTTATTTAGTACTGCTCAGATGCTTTGTGGAACCGACTCCCAAGTGGATGCTTCCCCAATCTCTACAATCTTAACCTGTTCAACTCTAGGGTCAACCATTATCTTCTCCACATATCTCCAATAACTGTGCCTCTTACTCTCTAATCCTCTAACTTGAGTGACTCTTTGGCCTTGTACATCATTTTTTTAAAGTTGTTGCTCTCCCCAGTTTCTCCTAAATTCAAGAACACCCTGCCCAGCCTAGAGATTGATCTCACAACTACATACCCACCATTTGGTGAAATTGTAGTTGTTTGTAAATTTGGTAAAAGTAGTAATTTTCCGTGAATTTGGTGAAATAGTAATTGCTAGTTCAATCCCTAGGTTGAGCAGTGTGTAGTTGAAAATAGAGCAAGCCAAGATATTCCCAGAAAGATGTTTGGAAGCCATCAAGTGTTGTGCTAGCACAAAGTCACAAGTCAGCATGACAGAGGATTTGAGCGTATTGGCATTGTTCCAACGGCTGATCATAAAAGATGCTCTATCTCCCAGAAATTTAACTAAGATCCGCTGAGCATAGTACCAGTATAAGCCACAGGTGGGCTCTGTGAATGCTGATTGATTCATTTTCTATGGCTTATCAAACCTCTGCAGGTTATTTAAAGCCAGAACATATTGTGCCTGAGCAAGCGTCTTCAATAGGAATTGGCTAGCTGCCCTAGTAGACAGGTATCCTCGAATAAGAGTGGCCAGCTATTATATATGTGTACATGTATGTATGTATGGGTGTGTGTTTTAATTATAATAGCAGATGCCTTTTTTCGAGATTTTCAAATGAATAAATCCTCAATTCTAAACAAAGTGCCTTCTGTCGGCTATTCAGTAAATTTTGATGAAAGGAAGTGAACACTGAAGCTGTTGTGCAAACATTATTTAAAAAAATGAAAGTGATAGCTTAGATTTCTTTTATCTTCTGACAACTGATTTACATTGATAACTGTCCTTCTTTTAATGATTTGGTTGATGATACAATGATGCATTTCATACCCAATGACCGCATACAACAGTATCACACACGGAATTAAAACAGAACACTTACAATTAGATTACTATATCAGTCATTCACACATTAATACCTACTCAACATACATATATATATATATATATATATATATATATATATCTACTTGTATTTTTAGTCCTGCGTATTGGTGTTGCTATATTTATATTTTAAACAAAATCGTTTATTATTTTTTTCTAATAGTAAAATGTTTGTACATTTAATTTCGTTTTTCAGTGAATATTTATATTTTGAACAGTGTAGAAGTTATAAAAAAATAAAAGGATTATATATATATATATATATATATATATATATATATATATATATATATATATATATATGAAGAAAAATATACGGAAAAAAACAAAAAAAATCCTTATATACAATTATGCTGTTTTAATGTTAATATGTCAACGTCGGACATAAAAACATATTAAAACAGCATAATTGTATATAAGGTTTTTTGTTTGTTTTTCCGTATATATTTTTTTCATACTGTCGGATCTATATCCATATATTTGCTTATATATATATATATATATATATATATATATATATATTTGCTTGATTGATGTGAGTTTCGACCCGCTTTTGCGATCGTCAGACAAACTGATTAATTTTTTTTAAATTTTGGGTTTATGTAGATTGCGTGTATTGGTTTTATTGTGGAAGTGGTAGGGGGAAAACGTCGTCGTTTTGTCATCGTACTAACGCAAACATCGATGTATGTTCATACGCCTAATGAAGTACGCAGACACACATACACACTTGGTCGTCCGTCGGGACTCATACATATATAAACATATGTGGACAGTCTCGGATTTGACATATGTAGGTATACGGGTGGTGTTGTGTCTATACATACGCATTTGTATGATGAAATTCAAAGATTGGAAGTGTAGCGAAAATTTCTCGTGAATGTCTCGTGAATGTATACATCTCATTTTTCTATTTTTCCACTGAATAATATTTCCTCGCCTGTATGTATATACGTGTGGTGGGGTTTGTGTAAAATTATGATAGGTAAAAATTATTATTATTTTTATTTTTAATTTTTGAAAAAAGGAGGTTTATTTGTTATATTTAAAGATGGTTATTTGTTTGTTTTTGATGACTGTGTATAGGTAACTGGTAGAAATTTCGGTTTGTAATCCTTATTGGTTATTTTAATGGTGATATTTAATATTTAATATGCTGGGCGAGAGAGTAGTTTATGTTAATAATTATCGCGGGTCTATATGATAATAGTAGATGTGTTGTGATAGTAATGTTGTAAGGGGATTGGTGGCAATGATAATATAAGTAGCTAATAGTTATTGTAAATTAGTAGAAGTGATTAGTAATGGTGGTGGGAGAATGATAAAACCATAAATGTAGTTATTGTGGTGGTAGCGTGAACTAAAAAGTGGTTGTGGGTGTTTTATTTTATTTTGTTATATGTATATATTTTTTTTCCAATCTAAGCTTTCGGCTTACATAAGCCATTATCAAAGATGTCAATTACTGTACAACATATTAAGCAATATATGGACAAGACAGTGATGATAGTCTGTGATTGTTTACATGGATGATTTCCTAGCAACGATAAACACGAGCATATAAGACGCTAGAAGCTAAAATCAGAAAAATATGTATCAATATTGTGATTTTCTTTCTTTGTTTAATGATAATGTTATTAAGCTTATCAGACGTTATGAAAAGAATTTACATAAAATAAATAGACAACACTTGTCTATATTATTTAATGAAACATGTATGAATATATATATATATATATATATATATCTTAGTGAGTGCTTGTGTATCTCTAGCTGGCCACATTTGTATCTTGAGTATACCTGTCTGCTAGTGTGGTTAGCTAATCACATAGGTACATTTATGCTTTAACATCTACTAATCTAACCTGTGCTTAATACACACCTTACTGATGAAATGTTACTGTTTCTGGGAGAAAGTGCACAAGATGGCATGATCAGTAATTGGACAGGCCCCGTAAGCTTGAATCATATTGGCCACAGTAATTGCTGGTTCCCTGATAGTACAACTAATAACAACTCGTGAACTGTTTTGTCTATCCAATTTAATTCACAAGGCTAAGGTCAATGCCTTATTTTCCTGAAACATTTATTTGTGAATAAATTCCTTATCTTGTTTTGTTGACTCTAGAACACTAACCATCAATTAAAGTTACACCACTACTAACCATGGGTATATCGTACCCGATTTTGAAAATATCAAAACAAATATTAAATATAAATCTTTATTTGAAATATTTTACATGCAGGCACTTCAAACTTTGTACTTTGAGTTAACATTAATAGGAACTGAAAAATATATTATTTACGTAAGAAAATCAGGTACTAAAAATTGTAATTACAAATAGGAAAATTTGCGCTGTGTACTATATACCCATGGTTAGTGTTCTAGAGTTAAAATTACCGGGTGTTTCCTCATCATTATAATCCTTCATTAATCTTCTTGGTGTGGGTAAATCAACTGTTCATTTTAAACCCCTAAGCCCAACGTCTCTGTATAATCTATCGTCTTCTTAATTCTTATTCTTTTATTGTTCACTCTCTTTAATAGTGTTTTTTTTTCCTCATATTCTCTAACATTCTAAATTAAATTAAGAAAGAAGAGTGTCTGAAGGTATATGAGAAGATTTCGTTTCAGTTCCTCGCGACTGGCGTTAAAGTACTCGCGAATTATATTATCGGTTTCAAACCAGAGAATTTTATCTCAACAATCCAAGAAAGCTAAGTATTTTAAACTATCTCTCTTCGTCTACTTTTGAACGTAAACAAACTATATATCCCTTCAGTGAGCAACGAACTTTCTTACTTTTGTTTTAAGCATTTTTTGATATTATTTTGTGTCGATTCATTTAATCTGTTGTATGAACATTTCTTCTTCGTAACAATACGTTAAAACTACGAACTTTAATAATTCTTATTTATTTTCCTGGAACGAGCTACTGACATTATTTCGTAAATCAATTCCTTAACTTTTTTTTTGTTAAAATTACCCCTGGGTTTCATTGTTATTACCTGTCTACATTAACGTTCTTGGCGTGGGTAAACCAACGGTTCATTTTAACCCCTAAGCCCAACATTATTATAGCTATTCCCTAGAAACTTTTTCCGTTCACTAAAAATCCACATTTACAATTCCCATTCATAGAGTGCCGGCACTCTAACTCATCCCAGATGTTTAATATTTGTGGACGAGGGGAATAACAACATTTATACAATTAAAATTCCCCAATTTTATTTACAATGAATAAAAGTATTTACAAAAAAACAAAAGAAAAGGATTGTTATTATTAGAACACCCACAATCTCATTGTGGTAGGGAAAAAAACAGTTAATTAGCCGAAAATAATAAGGCAAGATTAAAAAACAATAATAAAACCTTTACATAAATACACGCCCATTGAGGCACAGAAATCTGTCAGCTAATAGGAAATGGGTTGATAATTAAGCTAAAAAAAGGATATTTTAAAAAAAAAACATGGTCAATGAGATGTGCACTATAACCAAGATTTAAGAAAAATTATAAACTAAAAGAAATAAAACTGAACCATTCACAGACTTGACTGATATTTGAACAATTCAAATGCTTAAAACCCTTCTTACCAACCAATCTCCAAATGCTATTCTATGTCAGCACCTTTCACTCGACACAAGTGTGCAACAGACACCTACTTTTCAATATATTTTGTGGTAGAGATCCTGTGACACTCCTACTTATGTAGGCTCAATATATAAGCAATTGTGGATAGTGAAGAAAGAGGGAAAACAAACCATTCCCACTTCTTTAGGGCTAAAGAACAAAACAGAAAAGCTTTTCACAAAAAAAAGACATTGTAAGGTTTTAGATAGAACCCTTTGCGTGGTAAGTTAGTGCCCTTTGCACAGTCGGCAGGTGTTACTGTGTGTGTTACTAATAGACAAATTAGTACTCTGAGCTTCATGAAATCTCAGTCACTCTTCAGAAAACTTGATGTTGAAGAGTATTATTATTTTTATTATTAATATTCTATCTCTTGATATTGATAACTATAATCACAAAAATGCTTACGTTAAACACGTCATCTACAGTATTAACTTGGTCAACCAATTTGACGCAAAATACAATCAAGGTTTATATTCTTATATATATATATATATATATAAAACACAAATAAAAATAAATTTAAATATTCAGCTTATGTTTTCCTACTCAGTGTTTGGCAGATATGTTATCCCAACATGAGGGGTGTAATAGTAAAACTGAATTTATTTACAAAAATCAAATATTTCTTTAAAAGCAATTACTTAGTTTTGGTTAAAAAGATGCTAATTATTTATAACAATCTGTTCTAAATTTGTTCGTTCTTACTTACATTATTTTATAGATAGATAGATAGATAGATAGATAGATAGATAGATAGATAGATAGATAGATATGAACAGATAGATAGATAGATAGATAGATAGATAGATAGATAGATAGATAGATATGAACAGACACAGAGAGACAGATGAGACCATAGATAGATGTGAACAGACACAGATAGATAGATATGAACAGACAGATAGATAGATAGATAGATAGATAGATAGATAGATATGAACAGTCACAGATAGATGAGACCATAGATGGATAGATAGATAGATAGATAGATAGATAGATAGATAGATAGATTTGAACAGTCATAGATAGATAGATAGATAGATAGATAGATAGATAGATAAAACATGCTGGCTCCTTTCTAGTTTCCCCTGCGAACATTACCTGCAGCGCAAATTACCACCTGTCAATTGATGTATATATTGTTTGCTTGCCGAAGCAAAACATTTATTATTCATACGCCCCTGGTATGGAGCCATCACTTTTCTTTGCAGGCTATCAAGGCAAGAAGGTTAACTCAAGTCATTAGTGTGGAAGGAAAACTTCATTTAAACCAATTTTTGCCAAGCTTCCAAAAATCGCTACGACCTTGAATGTGAGAGAAATCCCCACACTTTGGGGCCAATCTCAAGGCTCTGGTCTTTTTTTTTTCTAGCTTGTAATTTTTATATATTAAAAACTAAGTTCTTATCTATCTTCATATATACAATAGGCCAAAAGATTGAGACCACCTTCTGGATTTCGGAGAATTGCCTAAAAACTGATGGTTGCGTTCTTTTTTCAAAACTACTTTACCAACTCATTTTGCGCCAGAAGGACTTTTGTCTTCTTTAAGGTTTTTATCATATATTCAAATAATATATTGTGAAATGAAAGCTATGTTGAACAGACACACTTCCAATTCATTTCATATTAACAAGGGCTCTATCCTTGGAACTATGACGTTCCTTATTTTCATCAACGATCTTCATGATGTCATCAGTTCCCAACAAGGTATTCATGAGGATGACAAGGCAATTTACTCCTGTCTTAGTAGCAAGTCTGACAGATCCGACAAATAAAGGTCTTCAAATCAGTGACTGAACTGGAGTAAGGAATGACTTGTAAATCTTAATCCCTCAAAAACAAAACTGCTTTCATCTGCTCACCATAGAGAACAATTCCAAAAAGGACCTCCAGTCAATAGTTGAACTGGAGAAAGGAATGACTTGTAAATTTTAATCCCTCAAAAACAAAACTACTTTCATCTAATCACCATAGAGAACAATTTCTGCAGGCTATCAGCCTCCAAGAGAGCAACTCTTTACACCTTCTTCGGTTCATTTTTTTACTGACATGAAGTGAACTGATTATATTGAATCAACTGCTCAGTTTACTGCTAGTAAATTTGGTTTATTATGATATTACAGCATTCCTTTTTAAATAATACATGAGGATATAAACTGAGCCCCATTAATAAAAGATTTAAAAACAGATATCTTATAACTGTATACGTATTCACTGTTTTTAGCAAAGGTGGCAGGAAATAATTTTTTGCTTTTATTCTTAAGACTCATTGCACCTTCTTAGTCTCATGTTTTCCACTGACACAAAGTGGAGAGATTATATTGTCAGATCACGACATCTATCAGGGATATGAAATTTAATTTTTTTTCTATTGTATTATTCTCATTTTTTATTGTACTTCATTATTAGTCCGATTTCTACACTTGCTTCTACTACTTCATCCAAAAGTATTTTTGGTACTTCTGATGCTGCTATGAAGACCACATCAAACTAATTAGGAAATCTTATTTATACCAATTTAATATTACTGTAAGCATAAGGGGCTCTGGATAGAGATATCCTCTGTGCCATGTGTCCTCAATAAAGGGGATAAAGGCATTGGTTAGATCCAGTGACAGGACCCAAAGAATGTGAGTTCAATACCCGGTTAAGGCAGTGGAGAACTTTCAGAGGGAAATTAACAGGAGATAACTGATAACTGACATCCATTAAACATGGCACATGGAACTAGAGCAGTCTACCCCAATGAGCGAAATAAAGGGTTAAGTTCGACATTCCAACCACCTGAAGAAGGCCAGAGCGTACAACGGTCGAAACGTTGTAATAAATATGACGACAAAGATGAGGGCAATAGTTCAAATAATGTAAATAATGCAAAAATACATGTTTTTACAATAATGTTCGCCCTGTACAAGGCCCAAGAGCCACTCGCGGCAGCGGGGTACAGATTAGGAGGCACAATTTATTGAGATATGTGGGGAAGAAAAGGGTTAACCCTAGACTTGAACAGGTTAAGATTTGGAAATCAATTTCACAAACCAAATGTAACCGTATGTTCTATGCTAATAGTTTCTTCAACTGCATTTCTTGCTTGTGTAATTTTCTTCCAGATTCTTACTTCCTAATCAACTCTGATCTTCAAAAATTTAAATGCAGTATCCCTCATTATCTTCTTAATCTTTTTATTCCTTTTATTATTTTCTCTCCTTAATAATGTTTATTTTCAATATTCTCTAACACTCACTAACCCCTTGCATCCTAGTGGATTTATTGCCTTGTTTCAGGTGAAATGATTAAAATAAATAAGTACTAGAGACTTATCCTTTTACTTCACACAGCTTCCTTTTGGTTTCCATTTATTTGGGTTTTACCATCAATGTGTTAACTGCTATTATTGAATTTGTCTATCAAGCTTTAGATAATAACAGCAAAACTTGGGCTGTGGCTTGAGGTATCTCAATGGCATTCAACAGGGTTTGGCATACTGGCCTACTCCACAAGCTCAAGGGCTACAGTGTCTCTAGACAAATATTTGGCACCTAGGCATTTATGCAGATGACAACTATTTACTCCTGTTTTTGTTAGATCTGTCAGGTTTGCTACTAAGTAGAACTGGTATCTCTTTTAGAAAAGGACCACTAATTATTAGTTAACTGAGGCAAGAATGTCTTGTTAATTTTAACACCTCCAAAATAAAAATGCTTTCATTTAATCACCAGAGAAGCTTTTCTGTCTGCCATTTGTATATCTGATTCTACCATCCAGGAAAGCAACACTTTGTGCTTTCTTGGGCTCATGTTTTCCACTGACATGAAGTGAAAGGATTATCTTGAATCAACTGTTAGGTCTGCTTGTGAGGAAAATTCACTCACTGTGTCGTGCCAGACAATTTTTCTCATCAGAATTCAACTTACACATTTATAAATCTACCATTAGTCCATGCATTGAATATTGCTACCATATTTGCTCTAATGTTCTCTGTTGTATATCTTGAGATTCTAAATAAAATCCAAAGGAGGCTCTGTAATATAGTCATCCCTAATCTGGAATCTTGACTACAGTTATTTCACATTGGCATGACACAGCTTCCTTCTATCTGTTGTATAAATATTTTCATGGTAATTATTCTAATAAATTTTCACCTTTAGTACATTGATTGGTTTGGTTTGGTTTGGTTTACGGCATATCAACCTCAATGGGTCATTTAATGCCGACATTTTTTTTTTTTTTTTTTTTTGGTAATATTTTTGTTTTGTCAAAAATCTATTTCTGTTAATATTTTTTTCCTCAAAAACCAATAGCTGGTTATATTATTTTTTCAAAAACATATATCTGGTAATATTATTCTTCCAAAACGTACAGCCGGCAAGACTATTCTGTCAAAAAAAAAAAGTATAGCTTGTAATATTTTTTTCAAAAACATACAGCTGGCAACATTATTTTTTCAAAAATGTATTATCAAGGGCCTTGCTGTTGGATGTAGTTTATTGTCTTATCCAGGACACGGATGTAGTTTATTGTATACTGAGGATGCAAATGTAGTTTATCATCATACCCAGGACACGGATGTAGTTTATTGTCATACCCAGGACGCGGATGTAGTTTATTGTCATACCCAGGACGCGGATGTAGTTTATCATCATACCCAGGACACGGATGTAGTTTATCATCATACCCAGGACACGGATGTAGTTTATCGTCATACCCAGGACGCGGATGTAGTTTATTGTCATACCCAGGACACGGATGTAGTTTATCATCATACCCAGGACACGGATGTAGTTTATTGTCATACCCAGGACGCGGATGTAGTTTATCATCATACCCAGGACACGGATGTAGTTTATTGTCATACCCAGGACGCGGATGTAGTTTATTGTCATACCCAGGATGCGGATGTAGTTTATCGTCATACCCAGGACACGGATGTAGTTTATCATCATACCCAGGACACAGATGTAGTTTATTGTCATACCCAGGATGCAGATGTAGTTCATTGTCATACCCAGGATGCGGATGTAGTTTATCACCATACCCAGGACACGGATGTAGTTTATCATCATGCCCAGGACGGATGTAGTTTATTGTCATACCAGGAATGGATGTAGTTTATCATCATACCCAGGAAGTGGATGTAGTTTATTGTCATACCCAGAATGCGGATGTAGTTTATCGTCAACCCAGGAAGCGGATATAGTTTTCATCATACCCAGAATGCGGATGTAGGAACTGTCATACCCAGAATGCAGATGTAGTTTTCATCATACCCAGGAAGCAATCTTCAATCGTTTACCCAGGAGGCAACATCAATTGTCATACCCAGGAGGCGCTCAAAATCATCATTTTTTATTGTCCCTTTAGTCCCATCTAAATGAATTTAAGTCTACTTCTAGATTAGCAACTAGGTCTTATCATTTTACTGCTGAATTAGTTAGATACAAATATAAGCTTTATTCTTTTCTCGGACTTCTCGCCTGTGGAAATGTCTTCCAGTTTCTTGTTTCTCTACTACTAACAATCTTCAAAAGTTTAAATGCAACATCAATTGTCATCTTCCGTCTTCTCAAAATCTGTTTTTTATTTCTCTTTCTCCCATCTAAATATTTCTCTTTCTCTTTCACTCCCAATAACCCCTTCCATCTTGGTGGCATTATCACCATCTTCTGTCTTCCTTAAAACCTCTTCTTCTATTGTTCTTTTCTCCTCACTAAACTCTTCTCATTCTCTTTCATTCCCAGTAACCCCTTGCGTCTTAGTGGCATTATCACCATCTTCTGTCTTCCTAAAACCTCTTCTTTCTCATCACTAAAGTTTTCTCGTTCTCTTTCACTCCCAATAACTCCTCGATTCTCATGGCATTATCACCTTGCATGGGCTGAAATAAGTTGAATGGGCTTGAGTTTGTTCAAAATTAATAAAGGTTTTATATAAGAGATTTGACATGAGATAGCAGAAAATTAACTATTTTCTATGTTTCTAAGGCTCATTTTCTCTAAATCAACCTTTACTATAACAAGTTGGCCATCACTAATCTGGCACAAATTGAATCTGTTGGGTTCTGGATAAATTACCAATTCTTTTCTTGTTTCTTTATGTCATAAACTGTAGATGTAGTGTGGAAAGTGTTAAAATGACTTTTTAAATATCAAAAGATATTCATTTGAGCATACCAAACTTGAGAAATTTAGCGACTCAAGAACAACTGCAGAATGTGTTTAATCAACATTAAAGATTTACTTATCATCTTCAATGCAAAAATTAATTTGCTAAAATTTGGGGGAGGGGCGTTACTTTAGTCATTTCACCACAAGCAAGGCAATAAAGTCACTAAGACACATGTGGTTACTGCATGTGAAAGAACATACAAAAAAGATAATATTATTAAGGATTAAGAATAACAAAAGAAGAAGAACTAAGAAGACAGAATATAATGATGGACATTGTGTTTAAATTTCTGATGATCAAAGCTGACTGGAGAGCAAGAAGACAGAAGAGAGTTAGCATAGAACTTGTAGCATATGAACAAGGCAAGATAGCTAGATGGGAACAGTTATAGATAGATAGATAGATAGATAGATAGATAGATAGATAGATAGATAGATAGATAGGAACAGTTATAGATAGATAGATAGATAGATAGATAGATAGATAGATAGATAGATAGATAGATAGGAACAGTTATAGATAGATAGATAGATAGATAGATAGATAGATAGATAGATAGGAACAGTTATAGATAGATAGATAGATAGATAGATAGATAGATAGATAGATAGATAATAAGGAACAGTTATAGATAAATAGATAGATAGATAGAAACAGTTAAGATAGATAGATAGATAGATAGATAGATACAATAGGAACAGTTATAGATAAATAGATAGATAGATAGATAGGAACAAAAGTTATATAGATAGAAAAAAATAGATAGATAGATAGATAGATAGATAGATTTTAAACAGTTATAGATAGATGATATATAGATAGATAGATAGATAGAAACTTTGTTGATAGATACAGAATGAGCAAGATAGATAAAAACAAAGCAAGGTAAATTTTAGATAGATAGAAAGTTAGATAGAATTGAATAGAACAAGATAGATAAAAACAGAGCAAGATAGATAGATAGATAGATAGATAGATAGATAGATAGATAGATAGATAGAATTGAATGGAACAAGAGCAAGGTACCTAGATAGATAGATAGATAGATAGATAGATAGATAAAATGTGGTCAACTGATTTGTACATTCAAAGCCCAACTTTCCATGCAATAATCTATTCTCTCTCGCTTTTTATAACCTTGCACAACTTTTCAATGAAATTGTATATTCTATAATAAAACTGTATATTCTATAATAAAAGAAAATTCTTATAATGCTTGGATGAATTTTAGGATATCTTGAAATTTTTGAAACTGCTAATCAAACAAGCAATGATAGTTTTGAATTTTCCAATCTGAAGAATAAAAAGACAATGAACACAAAATAAAGATAAAAAAATATTTTTTTTTATTGGGGAAACAGAAAAAGGGGAAACAGAAAAAGGGGAAACAGAAAAAGGGGAAACAGAAAAAGGGGAAAAGAAAAAGGGGAAACAGAAAAAGGGGAAACAGAAAAAGGGGAAAAAGGATTTAAAGGAAAGAGAAAAATACAAGAGAGAAATTTGCAGAAGAAAGAACAAAAAAAAGAGGAAGAAAAGCAAAAGAATACGAATGAAAAAAAATGAAAATGTCAACAAATTAAATCTTCTTTTGATTTTAATCAGAAAAGCGGAGGTGATTTCTGAAGTTTCATTTAATTATTCAATTGATGTTTTTTCATCTTTGTTGTCATATGTCAATACGAAGATATATTTGTATCAGTTTTAAAGAAAGAAAAAAAATTTTCAAAATATTATTGAAAGAAAGAAAAGTAATGAAAACAAAGATTTTCAAATGTTATTGAAAGAAAGAAAGAAAGAAAGAAAGGAAGGAAGGAAGGAAGAAATGTAACAAAAAGAATAAAAGAAAGATAGAAAAGAGATGTAATTAAAACAAAGGAAAATGTAATAAAAGGATAATGAGGAAAGAGGAAAGAAGTGAAATCAAAAGAAAGGTAATGAAAAAGAAAAAAGAAAGATAATGAAAAGAAAGAAAGAAAAAGAAAGAAAAATGAGGAAAAGAAAGATAAGGAAAAGAAAGAAAGAAAAAAGGAAGATAATGAAAAGAAAGAAAGATAATGCAATGAAAAGAATGAAAAATGAGGAAAAGAAAGAAAAATGATAAAGAAAGAAAGAAAAAGAAAGATACTGAAAAGAAAGAAAGAAAGAAAAAGATACTGAAAAGAAAGAAAGAAAAAAGAAAGATAATGAAAAGAAAGAAAGGAAGAAAAAGAAAGATACTGAAAAGAATGGAAGAAAAAGAAAGATACTGAAAAGAAAGAAAAAAGAAAGATACTGAAAAGAAAGAAAGAAAAAAGAAAGATACTGAAAAGAAAGAAAAAAGAAAGATACTGAAAAGAAAGAAAGAAAAAAGAAAGATACTGAAAAGAAAGGAAGAAAAGAAAGATACTGAAAAGAAAGAAAAAAAAGATACTGAAAAGAAAAGAAAGAAAAAGAAAGATACTGAAAAGAAAGGAAGAAAAAGAAAGATACTGAAAACTTTCCAAAAAAGAAAGATACTCTATAAAAAAAAGAAAATAAAAAAGAAAGATGTATTGAAAAGAAAGAAAAAAGAAAGATACTGAAAAAGAAAGAAAGAAAAAGAAAGATACTGAAAAGAAAGGAAGAAAAAGAAAGATACTGAAAAGAAAAGAAAAAAAAGAAAGGATAAAGGCAAGGAACTGAAAGAAAGAAAGAAAAAAAAAAGATACTTAAAAGAAAGGAATTAAAAAAAGAAAGATACTGAAAAGAAAGAAAAAAAAGGAAGATACTGAAAAAGAAAGAAAGAAAAAAGAAAGATACTGAAAAGAAAGAAAGAAAGGAAGAAAGAAAGATAATGCAATGAAAAGAAAGAATGGTTTTGCAATTGACTCATGAGTTAGTAAATAAACAAAATACTCAGACATATTACAAAGACTCAAAACAATTATGCAACAAACATAAAAATATAAAAAAGAGATCATTACCAAATTTTGTGATACGGTTGTGCTGCAAATTTAACCACAAAAGGTTTGAACAGTCATCAAGTCCATGAATGAGAGCCAGGTTGTTGTAACTCAAGTCCAAAACTCGCAGACTTTCCATTCCTTTGACATTCACATATTCTATGTTATTATTCTGCAAGATAAAGAAAAGCTACAGTTAGTCCCCCATCAATACGAGATATGAAATATGGGCCTATGAGAATCGAGTTCAAGAAGTACATTGTATCAAGAAATGCATTTAAAGGTGGCCTTGCAGCCAAATGGAGCTTGCATTCTGTTGAAAATTCGGTTTCACATTGTGTGTGAGTCGACATAGTTTTATACTTCTGTAATTTGGAAAGATTTTTTTAGTATAAGTTCAACGTCATAAAATATAGTTTCATACAAAAAACAATCTTCAAAAATAAAATAAACTCAGTAATTAACATATTATTCAGAAAATTAGACATAATTAAACTGAATATTAATATTCAAAATTAACAAATATGTGCCTAGATAGATAGATAGATAGATAGATAGATAGATAGATATGAATAGACTGAGAAAGATAGATATGAACAGACTGAGATAGATAGATAGATATGAATAGACTGAGAAAGATAGATATGAACAGACTGAGATAGATAGATATGAACAGACTGAGAAAGATAGATAGATATGAAGAGACTGAGAAAGATAGATATGAACCAACTGATAGAGATAGATAGATAGATAATGAACAGAATGAGATAGATAGATAGATAGATAGATAGATAGATAATGAACAGAATGAGATAGTTAGATATGAACAGACTGAGACAGATAGGTATGAATAGACTGGAATAGATTGATAAAATGTGGTCAACTGATTTGTACATTCAAAACCCAACTTTTCAAGCAATAATTTATTTTCTATCATTTTTCATGACCTTGCACAACTTTCCAATGAAGCTGTATGTTCTATAATAAAAGAAAAATATATAACATCAGTGTATTCCGAAATTAATTACATTTTACCAGAAATTTATTTCGGGTGTTTGGAAAGTAATTACTTTTTTTTTTTTTTTTTTTTTTTTTTGTCATTTCTCCCCAGTCAGCGCAATAAAACCACTGAGACACAACAGGTTCATTGAGAGTTAAATACTATGACCAAAACATTATTAAGGAGAGGAATTAATAAAAGAACAGGAATTCAGTAAACAGAAAATAATGATTGACATTATATTTAAATTTTTGAAGATCAAAGTTGACTGGAAAGCAAGAAGCTGGAAAAGAGTTCCACAAGCAAAAATTGAGTGAGAACAATAGAAGAGTAATCAGAAAAACAGTAGATAACAAATGACATTATATTTAAATTTTTGAAGATCAAAGTTGACTGGAAAGCAAGAAACTGGAAGAGAGACTCACAAGCAAAATTTACGAAAAAAGAAAATGCAGAACTTATGGTTACATCTATCTGTTTCAACTGTAAAGTGATCAGATCTTGCAGCCAATCTAGTTTTAATTTTCTAGCAATTAAATTCATAAAATCTAGCTACCAAAGAGGAAAACTCATCAGAACAATTACCATGAAAATATTTATAGAAAAGGCACAGGGAAGCTACATGACAATGGAGGGAAAGTGACTGAAGCCGAGATGCCAGTTCAGGACTAATAACATTACAGATTGTTCATTGAATTTTACCAAGAATCTCTAAATATATATCAAGAGCACCAGGCTAGACATGGCTGCAATATTCCAAAGCATGGATGAATGATAGACTTATAAATATGTAAGATAAATTCTGGCGAAAAATTGTCTTGCACAAATGCAAACCATCTTTTCTCATGGCAGACTTAGTAATTGATTCAATATAATCTTTCCACTTTATGTCAGTGGAAAAAATTGGATTGAGAAGTTGCAATGAGTTGCTGTTCTGGAGGTTAGCATCAGCCATAATGATGGAAACTCAAATGTTCTCTTAGACAATAAAGCAGTTTTGGAAGTATTAAAATTCAGAAGCCATTCTTTGCCCTACTTAAAAAAAATTGTGGATAAGTACTATGTAGCATAAATACTAGGTCGAGAATTGATGACATCATAAAATGATGAGACCTATCTGCCAATCTAGTACTGTGCTTAAATTCATAAAATCTAGGTATCATTGAGGAAAGAAAGTTCATCAGAACAATTGCCCTGAAAGTTTTTATAGAAAAGGTACAGGGAAGCTATGTTACGACAAAGGGGAAGGTGACTGAAGTCGAGATATCAGGACCAATAAAATTACAGATTTCTCTTTGGATTTTATCAAGAATCTCTAAATATATAGCAAGAGCACCAGACTAAATGTGGCTGCAGCATTTAAAGCATGGATGAATGGTAGACTTATGAATATGTGAGATAGATTCTGGCAATAAAAATTGTATAACACAACACATTGAACTAACTTTCCTCAAAGCAGACCTAGCAATTGATTCAATATAATCTTTCCACTTCATGTCAGTGGCAAACATTATCCTGAGAAGGCATGATGAGTCACTCTCCTGGGGTTAAGCATTGGCAATGTTGATGGCAAGCAAAAAAGATTCTCTAAGATGATTAAAAGATAGTAGTTTTGTTTTGGAGGCACATTAAAATTTACACACCATATCTTGCCCCATTTAACAACAGCCACTACTTTGACCATAATAAACCTCATGAGGATGCTCTTTGGGAAGGATAGACAATAAACATTGATGAAAGGCAAGTGTTGCATCTAATTTCACTCACAAGGCCTGGATCAACAATAATAATATAATTTGTAAATTAAAAAAATATTAGACAAACTTATATTTAGGAAAAAAATTGAATAAAAAAAAGAAAAGACTAAAAACATTGGTACTGCATAAAAATAATCAAGCAGCACCGCAATGTCTACCCAAAAGAAAAAACACTGACAGAGTTACCTAATCTGATATGTAAAAGTGCTCAATAAGTAGACCAAAAGTAGAATACCTAAAGAGTCAGAACCTATCGGATCATCAGGATAATTCTGACTAAAGAGGGTTGGCTCAAACGACAGTTTATTGATAAAGCTTTATTAATAAGGTGTCATTTGGGCCAACCCTCTTTTGTCTGAATTATCTTGACAATCCAATAGTAGGTGAAACCTAGTTAGATAGGTTCAGATTCTATCTATCTAATATCTATATATATATATATATATACACATATATATACACACATGTATATATATATATGTATATATATATATATATATATATATATATATTTATATACAAGATATATATATATATACATATGCATATATATATATATATATACACACATGCATATATATATATACACATGCATATATATTTATATATATATATATATATATATATACATCCATATATATATATACACATGCATATATATATATATATATATATATATATATATATATATACACACACATGCATATATATATATATATGTGTGTGTGTGTATCATTGTCAATACTATACAGCTATAGTTTTTTTTATTCCAGATGTTGCAATTGCAAATGCAAGCACTGAGATTCTGGTATTTTTGAGACATTATTTCAAACTGGGCCTCAAATGCACTGAAGATATTCACAGAAATCCAGAAGTAAACAGAAAGGAAACTGTCCTATTTTTTCTTTCATTGCTGTCCATTGTCCTCCCTTGATTTCATAAACTTCCTTCCAAACCAATTGTGATTTAGCTATCATGTTTTATTGTCCTGATTCTACACCAATTTCTTTCTTTTACAAGTTATCTTGTTTCTGCCAAAATCCTTTAATGCTAATATCACTGAATTTCTTTAAAGCTAACATAATTTCCATTTCATTATCACTTTGGACAAACAGTTTCATAAATAAAAAATAGATTTAGAAGGGGATTTACAGTAGATAAATGCACTGAAATAGAACATCATTGGCAACTCTGACAACAGAATCAATATTATCTTTCAGATAATGCATTCATATATGGTTAGAAGATTTCATTGCTACATTTGGACCCCTTGTCATTCATTGATTCATAAAATGGTGTATTGCTGCCTCATCTGGGCAGGAAATGCCCAATCCTCTCTTTCCAGCCTTAACAGAATTCAAAAGTCCCAGTAAGCTTCATCTTAGACAGTTATAGTTGGATTTGTCTTGGCCAAATACCAATAGGCATGGTCTTGGTCATCTACCAGAAGGCTTCATCTTGGCTGGCTACTAGTAGGCTTTGTCTTAATTAGCTACTAGTTGACTTGGTCTCAGCTGGCTACCAGCAGGCTTGGCCATGGCTAACTACCAGTAGGCATAGTCTTGGCCAGCTACCAATAGGCTTTGTTTTGTCCAGCTACCAGTAAGATTGGTCATGACTGGCTACCAGTAGGCTTGGTTTTGGCTGGTCGCCAGTAGCATTGGGATTAGTCAGCTACCATCAAGCTTTGTCTTAACCAGCTATTAGTCGGCATGCTTTCGGCCAACTATCAGCAGGCTATGTCATGGCCAGCTACGAGTAAGCTTTGCCTTGGCTGACAATACCTGGCTTGGTTTTGACTACTACCAGTAAGCTTGATCTTGGCTAGCTACCAGTAGGCTTGGTCTTGGCTTGCTATCAGTAGGCTTCATATTGTCTAGGTAGCAGTAGTCTTGGCTTGCTACCAGTAGGCTTGGTCTTGGCCAGCTACCAGTAGGCTTGGTATTGGCCAGCTACCAGTAGGCTTGGTATTGGCTAGCTACCAGTAGGCTTGGTATTGGCTAGCTACCAGTAGGCATGGTCTTGGCTTGTTACCGGTAGGCTTCATATTGGCTAGGTAGCAGTAGTCGTGACTTACTACCAGTACTTTTGGTACTGGCTAGCTACCAGTAGGGTAGGTCTTGGCCAGCTACCAGTAAGCTTGGTATTGGCTAGCTACCAGTAGGCTTGGTATTGGCCAGCTAGCAGTAGGCTTGGTATTGGCTTAATACCAGTAGGCTTCATATTGGCTAGGTAGCAGTAGTTTTGGCTTGCTACCAGTAGGCTTGGTCTTGGCCAGATTACCAATAGGCTTGGTATTGGCTAGGTAGCAGTAGGCTTGGTCTTGGCCAGCTACCAGTAGGTTTGGTATTGGCCAGCTACCAGTAGGCTTGGTCTTGGCCAGCTTACCAATCGGCTTGATACTGGCTAGCTACTGGAAGGCTTCGTCTTGGCCAGCTACCAGTAGGCTTGGTATAGGCTAGCTACCATTAAGCTAGATATTGGCTAGCTACCCGTAGGCTTACTCTTGGCTTGCTACCAGTAGGCTTCATACTGGCTATCTAGCAGTAGGCTTGGTATTGGCCAGCTACTAGTAGGCCTGGTATTGGCTAGCTACCAGTAGGCTTCATATTGGTTAGGTAGCAGTAGTCTTGGCTTGCTAACAGTAGACTAGAATCTTGGCCAGCTTACCAATAGGCTTAGTACTGGCTAGCTAGCAGTAGGCTTCATCTTGGCCAGCTACCAGTAGGCTTGGTATTGGTTAGCTACCAGTAAGCTTGGTCTTGGCTTGCTACCAGTAGGCTTCATATTGGCTAGCTACCAGTAGTCTTGCTCTTGACTTGCTACCAGCAGGCTTCATATTGGCTAGGTAGCAGTAATCATGGCTTGCTAACAGTTGGCTTGGTCTTGGCCACCTACCAATAGGCTTCATACTGGCTAGCTAGCAGTCAGCTTGGTCTTGGCCAGCTACCAGTAGGCTTGGTTTGGCCAGATTACCAGTAGTCTTGGTACTGGCTAGCTACCAGTAGGCTTGGTCTTGGCTTGCTAACAGTAGGCTTCATATTGGCTAGGTAGCAGTAGTCTTGGCTTGCTAACAGTAGGCTTGGTCTTGGCCTCCTATCAATAGGCTAGCTATCTAGCTAGCAGTAGGCTTGGTCTTGGCCAGCTACCAGTAGGTTTGGTATTGGCTAGCTACCAGTAGGCTTGGTCTTGGCTTGCTACCAGTAGGCTTCATGTTGCCTAGGTAGCAGTTGTCTTGGCTTGCTACCAATTCGCTTGGCCTTGGCCAGCTTACCAATAGGCTTGGTATTGGCTAGCTAGCAGTAGGCTTGGTCTTGGCCCGCTCCAGTAGGCTTCATCTTGGCCAGCCACCAGTAGGCTTGGTATTGGTTAGCTACCAGTAAGCTTGGTCTTGGCTTGCTACCAGTAGGCTTCATATTGGCTAGGTAGCTGTAGTCTTGGCTTTGCTAACAGTAGGCTTGGTCTTGGCCACCTACCAATAGGCTTCATACTGGCTAGCTAGCAGTCAGCTTGGTCTTAGCCCAGCTACCAGTAGGCTTGGTCTTGGCCAGATTACCAGTAGTCTTGGTACTGGCTAGCTAGCTGTAGGCTTCGTCTTGGCCAGCTACCAGTAGGTTTGATATTGGCTAGCTACCAGTAGGTTTGGTATTGGCTAGCTACCAGTAGGCTTGGTCTTGGCTTGCTACCAGTAGGCTTCATATTGGCTAGGTAGCTGTAGTCTTGTCTTGCTAACAGTAGGCTTGGTCTTGGCCACCTACCAATAGGCTTCATACTGGCTAGCTAGCAGTCAGCTTGGTCTTGGCCAGCTACCAGTAGGCTTGGTCTTGGCCAGATTACCAGTAGTCTTGGTACTGGCTAGCTAGCTGTAGGCTTAGTCTTGGCCAGCTACCAGTAGGCTTGGTCTTGGCTTGCTACCAGCAGGCTTCATATTGGCTAGGTAGCTGTAGTCTTGGCTTGCTAACAGTAGGCTTGGTCTTGGCCAGCCTTCCCATAGGCTTGGTACTGGCTAGCTACCAGTAGGCTAGTTCTTGGCCAGCTACCAATAGGCTTGGTATTGGCAAGCTACCAGTAGGCTTGGTCTTGGCCAGCTACCAGTTTGCTTGGTTTTGGCTAGCTACCAGTAGGCTTGGTATTGGCTAGCTAGCAGTAGGCTTTCTGTCTTAATTATTACTGTTATAGTGTTATATTCATAATAGAGTAGTATGCTAAATACTGACAGATATTTATGTAATTTATCAAAAGTTCTCGAAAGATTATTAGGCAATTGTCTTTTCTATAAATGATCATCAGAAAACATTACTTAAAAAATAAAAATGAAAGTAAATTCACTGACCTTTACATCAATATACTTCACTTGTGAACATATCTGAAGACCGTCAAGTATTAACAGTTGACAATTATTGACAGATAAATATTCAAGGTTCAGGCACTGTCCCAATGTGGTCAAAGTAAAACCATTCAAATTCTTCAAATGGATGCTTGTTACCTGTAACAAACAAGTTAATAAAATCTTATAATTGAACATGTTTCTTTGTTGCATGGGTTGATTTTTAGTCATCATGTTCATATCCATAATTCAATAGTATTAATTCACTTTTCCAACTTACATGAATGGAAATTGAAAGTCAATACTAATTTTGCTTTTTATTTCTATATGGATTTCACCACCGATTTGTGCCTAAAAAAATAAAAATTATATTATTTGAATTATTTTTTTTCCTTGACAATGATTTATCCCAAAAATAATATGAAGGTTTAAGAAAAGATATCTAATATTCTAATCTATACTCTCTCTGACCACAAATTATTTTCACTTGAAGCATCGACCTAACCAAACTAGGAGACCGTTAAAGTTCAAATTTTACATTCTAACAAAATTCTATGGCCAGATTTATCTCTTCTTAGTGCATATCATCTCCTCCTCTTTCTTTTTCTTTTCCTTTTTCTTTTTTCCCTTTTTTCTTTTCCCTTTCCCCTCCTTTTACCGCAAAAATTAATGACTAGAATTCCCTTCCTTCTCCACATGTAAATTCTAGAAGACCTTTTATGAAAATTTCCAAAGGACGGAAGTGGGTGATGTTTGCTTCGATAACTGCATTTCTGAATAAAGATTTTAGTAACATCGTGATTCCCCACCTGATGAGAGGTTTAAAAAAGGTTTCCTTTTTTGACATTGAAACAAAAATGTACAATTTTGTGCATGTTCTAATGTAATACTGTATAGTGTATATACAGATATATATATATATATATATATATATATATATATATATATATATATATATATATTTATTTATTTATTTAAAATATGATTCCAACACGCTACATGAGAGTTCCCATGTTTCAAAACAAGAGCTGAAAACTTCAATATAATTATTTGAATTAAATTGAATTAAAGTAAGCTCTGTTTCTTCTTCAAGCGAAAATTTTTTTTGGAATAACATATTTCTGAAATTTACGTGTTTTAATAGCAGATTCATTATTGAAATCAAAATTTCCATGGTAACGGCCAGTGTGATTGTTCATATAGAGAGGGGTGTTGGGTGTTAATAATTTGTATCAGTATAGAGTTACATTCATAGGTGTCAAGTCAGGGTAAGGTTGGGGTGTCTAAATTTAAAACGGAAGATGATTTCGTCTAGTCTGGTTTACGTGTCTTTGGAGATTTATTTATTTTTTTATTTTATTTTTTCTGAAAGGGTTTTGTGTATACAAAAAAAGAAACTGCCATAACATTTGTTTTTTGATGACTTCATAAAGGGTTATCTTTTTTGTAGGGGATTTAAGCTATTTATTAGGAATATGGATTTTTAAAAATTATATGCTAATTATTCAATGCAAAGATTTGATGATGTCAGCAAAAAACCATTAACTCATGTCTATTGTTTAATAGATTTTTATTATTTAGAAACTTAATAATGTGTAGTTTTTCATGTAGGCATAAAGGGCATGGGTCATCCCAAGTTTTACATGTTCTAGTTTTGTTTATAATTTTTTATTTTACAATATATTTTATTAATATATATATATATATATATATGTATATATATATATATATATATATATATATATATATATATATATACAGATAGCACATAGAAGAAGAACAATATGATTTCAAAGATTCCTGCCTTACCTGCATCAGTGAAGTGCATTTGGTAACAGACAGAATGACTTCTTCATTTAAAGGTTTTGGTAGACGTTTGTTTGATGGAGGTCGCTTTCGTTCTGACTTTGTTAAAGCATGGTTTTTTTTATCCCCGATCCATGGTTGATTGCTGATTTTCCTGGAGATGATAATATAAAAATTATCCTTCAAATACATGGAGACAATATTAAAATGTATGGATAGGGTCAGATTTATATGAACAGTCAAACTGATTGATCAATCAAACAAGTGACATATATTAATAGAAGTTAGGTAGATAAGGAACAGAGTGAGATAGATAGATAGATAGATAGATAGATAGATAGATAGATAGATAGATATGAACAGACAGATATATATATATATATATAGAGAGAGAGAGAGATACATAGATAGATAGATATGAACAGACTCAGATAGATAGATATGAACAGACTGATATATATATATATATAGAGAGAGAGAGATACATAGATAGATGAATGTAACAGACTCAGATAGATAGATATGAACAGACTCAGATAGATAGATAGATAGATAGATGAACAGACTCAGATAGATAGATAGATATGAACAGACTCAGATAGATATAGATAGATAGATAGATAGATAGATAGATAGATATGAACAGACTCAGATAGATAGATAGATAGATAGATAGATAGATAGATAGATAGATAGATGAATATGAACAGACTCAGATAGATAGATAGATAGATATGATAGATAGATAGATAGATGTGAACAGACAGATAGATAGATAGATGAAATATGAACAGATAGATAGATAGATAGATAGATAGAAGATCAGATAGATGAATGGAATAGACTCAGATAGATGAATATGAACAGATAGATAGATAGATAGATAGATAGATAGATAGATAGATAGATAGATAGATAGATAGATGATATGAACAGACTCGGATAGATAGATGTGAACAGACTCGGATAGATAGATAGATAGATAGATAGATAGATAGATAGATGAGATATGAACAGACTCAGATAGATAGATATGATAGATAGATAGATAGATAGATAGATAGATAGATAGATAGATAGATATGAACAGACTCAGATAGATGATATAGACAGACTCGGATAGATTGATAGATAGATAGATAGATAGATAGATAGATATGAACAGACTCGGATAGATAGATGTGAACAGACTCGGATAGATAGATAGATAGATGATAGATAGATAGATAGATAGATAGATAGATAGATATGAACAGACTCGGATAGATAGATAGATAGATAGATGATAGATAGATGAATGAATGAACAGACTCGGATAGATAGATAGATAGATAGATAGATAGATAGATAGATATGAACAGACTCGGATAGATAGAGATAGATAGACAGACTCGGATAGATATGAACAGACTCGGATAGATAGATAGATAGATAGATAGATAGATAGATAGATGAAGATATGAACAGACTCGGATAGATAGATAGATAGATAGATAGATAGATAGATAGATAGATAGATGAATGAACAGACTCGGATAGATAGATAGATAGATAGATGAAGATAGATCGGATAGATATGAACAGACTCGGGATAGATAGATAGATAGATAGAACAGATGGATGAATATGAACAGACTCGGATAGATAGATAGAGAGATAGATAGAATATGAACAGACTCGGATAGATATGAACAGACTCGGATAGATAGATAGATAGATAGATAGATAGATAGAGATAGATAGATAGATATGAACAGACTCGGATAGATAGATAGATAGACTAGATAGATATGACAGACTCGGATAGATAGATAGATAGATGATAGACTCGGATAGATATGAACAGACTCGGGATAGATAGATAGATAGATAGATAGATAGATAGATATGAACAGACTCGGATAGATAGATAGATAGATATGAACAGACTCGGATAGATATGAACAGACTCGGATAGATAGATAGATAGATATGAACAGACTCGGATAGATATGAACAGACTCGGATAGATAGATAGATAGATAGATAGATAGATAGATAGATAGATAGATATGAACAGACTCGGATAGATAGATAGATAGATAGATAGATAGATAGATAGATATGAACAGACTCGGATAGATAGATAGATAGATAGATAGATAGATAGATAGATAGATAGATAGATATGAACAGACTCGGATAGATAGATAGATAGATAGATAGATAGATAGATAGATAGATATGAACAGACTCGGATAGATAGATAGATAGATATGAACAGACTCGGATAGATATGAACAGACTCGGATAGATAGATAGATAGATAGATAGATAGATAGATAGATAGATAGATGAATGAACAGACTCAGATAGATAGATGAATGAATATGAACAGACTCGGATAGATAGATAGATAGATAGATAGATAGATAGATGAAGATATGAACAGACTCAGATAGATAGATAGATAGATATGAACAGACTCGGATAGTTAGATAGATAGATATGAACAGACTCGGATAGATAGATAGATAGATAGATAGATAGATAGATAGATGGGAACAGGCTGAGATATATAGATAGGTATGAGCAGACTGGGATAGAGAGAGAGTATGGGTTAAATAGCCTGGGATAGAAAGAGAGAGAAAGAGATTGAGATAGACATGAACAGACTGAGATAGATAACTAGATAGATAGATAGAAAGAGAGAGAGAAAAATTGAGAGAGTACGTGAGAGATAGGTATGAATAGAATATAGGTATGGACAAACTGAGAATATTAATAGAATGAGACTGAAAGACATGAAAAAGCTGCTGTATTTTACATATTTCTAATATACTTACCCCCAAGGCAGACAATTTTCCATCCATGCCAACCTTCTAACATTTAGAATCTGTGGTAAAGGTTGTAAGTATACCTTGTCACTATCCCATGTTTTCATAACAGAATCCATTTTTTGATCGTTCTTTGAAGAAAGAGTCAGCACTTGCACTCTGAAATGTTTAACGAAAGACATTAAACATTTATTATTTCACAGAGTTACTGTTGGGATAATTGGCACAAATCCCTCTATCAAGACTTTCATCTAATATGAGCTTTATTATGACTTATCTAGGGTACTCCAACAATACCTCATGATATCATCACTGATTTCCAGTCAAAGTGAAAGGATATCAGATTCAAATATCATTTCCTCCTTTTTTATACAAATATACCCACCTTACAAGGTATAAATAAGATAAATTGATAGAAAAATACTAACATATTCTCCTTTGGTGTGTAATGTAGTTGCTTTTCAGTCATATCACTTGAAGTCTTCTCATAGCTTTTCATTTTTTTCTATCATTTTGTCAATAGGATCCTCTCATTCATGGATAAATGTTTTAGTATTTGTCATATACAAAGAAAATGAGTAACTACCGACACCAAAGTTCAAGCGTGACACTCTGGACTTATGAATATATGTTTTCCACCAGGTATATGAATAGCAGTGTCAGGCTACTGACTGTAGTGACTATTGCCTGGAACTATCTTGTTGAATTAGTGTGAATTGATGTGCATCAATGATTTGGGTTTTGATTTAGGATTTACCAGATGTTAACCCGAGCAGCACTACTAACAAGGTATTCACTGAAATGATTAATTATCTTTGGTTGACTTTTACTTCCTTGTTCTTGTTAAGTATTTATTTGTGGTTGTAATTAAATACGTTTTTATCTTAACATGGAAGTCTTCAGTTATACTTATTCATTAACAGCCACTGTATGTCAAAAAACCCTCCAACAAGACTTTTATATAATATGAGCTTCATTATGACTTATCTAGGGTACCCCAGCAATACCTCATGATATCATCACTGATTTCAAAACATGGTGAAAGGATATCAGATTCAGATGTCATTTTCTCCTTTTCAATACAGATATACCCACCTTATGAGGTATACATAAGACAAATTGGTGGAAAAATACTAACACCTCTCTTAATCAGTGTGTAATGTGGTTGCTTTTCGGTGATATTGCTTGAAGTTTTCTTATAGCTGTTCATTTTTTTAACATGCATTTTTTGATGAAAGTCTTAATAAAATGAATACCAAAAATAAATGTCCCTTTTCATTAACAGTATTAAAGAACATTTACCAGCCTGAATGTCTGAGAAATTTTCATAGAAAATATTCGTCTTCTGACAGGATTCGAACCTGTATTCTATACGGAACCGTCATATAGCCTGACTTAACCGATTCGGCAACAGTGGAGCATTCGATTAGCAAGGTCGATTTTACTGTCTTTAAACTACAATCTTCCATGATTCTCTCACGTACATTCATATCTGCTCAATGCGTATCCAAATGTAAACAAATGACGTCACACATTATGAAATGGACAAAGTCTGACAATTATTTTAAGACATTTTTATGTTTATACATTCTTTTTATAGATACAAATATTTAATTAAATGCTCTGTTTATAATAAACAGCATTAAACAACATTTACCAGCCTGAATGTCCAAGAAATTTTCTTGGAAGATTGGAGTTTAAAGACAGTAAAATTGACTTTGCTAACCGAACACTCCTCTGTAGCCAAATCGGTTAAGGCACGCCAGGCTAAATGACGGTTCCATATAGGATACAGGTTCGATTCCTGTCGGAGGACAAATATTTTCTATGAAAATTTCTCGGACACTATGCTCGATAGCTCTGGGTATGACAATAAACTACATCTTGCAGCAAGGCCTCTGATCAGGAGATTGGAGGTTTTGAGGAGCGTGGAATTGCTGTTGTCCCAAGGTTCACCCTGACCCAAGGTAGGAGCACCTGTTAGAGTCCCAGCTATGAGTATATATTTAACTCCCAAACAAAAATCTATGAAAGTATAATAAAAAAAAAACATTTTTATAGTAAATACACCAGCAATACATTTTTCTATAAATTTGCAGTATAAAACACAGGTGAACTCTTTGGGGTTTGAACAAATACCAATGTGACTGAGCAGGTGTCTGCAACAGGGATTGGCTAGCCACCCTAAAACAAAAGTAGCCAGCAAGTTTTAAACGCTGATTTTCAAAAGATAAAGGCCAATGCCACAAGGAAACACCATTTCCTATCTGTTTTTATTCTTTCATTTTTGTCATGTGTTGGAGAGCTGGTACATGCAACCCCCAAACTCCCCGACCGAAGCCTGATTGGTGGACCCAGACAGGGCTTTGTAATACTTGCTATATTTACATTTTTTCTATCTATATTTATATACAGTACAAATTAAACTAAGCACAACTCAAGGATGAAAAAATTTTGTGGATTTTAATGTCATTCTGGGGTCATTTCTTTTTTCCCTTTTTTTTTTTGTAAATTTTTTTGCTCATGCTAAGTCCTAAAAATATGCTATATAAAATTCATTATTTTTTATCTATAATGTTGAATGTGTTGAAATTATTCAATTTTTTAGCAAGTGAAATCTAAAGTTGATGTTAAAATTACTGCAAAACATTGTTGATTTATTCAAGATGGAATGATCTATTATGACATGTCTCTAATTTGTATTTAGATACTTTGTATTTATTTTCATTTTTTCTAGTTGAATTGCTCACCTATTTTGCATATGATTCATTATCGTACATAATTAGGTTACAATAAAATTTGTATTTCATATGAATACCACTTTATCAAATTTTAGATGTAGTAGAATTCAAACGTGAGTAGATTTTTGTAAGAAAAGTCCTCAAGAAGCAAACTAAAACAACAATAGTCAAAAGATTGAGAAAAGTTCAAAGTTTCACATGCAAACTGCTCATCAGTGTCAGATAGATTTGGTGTTTCTGATTTTTATGAGTGATTTATACGTGAAACTTAAAGTCAGTCACAAAGATAATTCCTTTATCACTTAACTATACTACATTATATAGCGCCATCTTGTAGTCACTAGCAGAAATTCCTTTGCAGACAAGTGGGGTAATCCGATGTGTTTTGATTATCAGGGGTTTTTTTTTCAGGATTCCGTTGAATATGTCGTCGACTGGACAAGAAGGAATACCTTCAAATGACCTCACCAACAGAATTGATGGCCTTCTTGATGCTGGTCAGTTTCTGAACATGATGAAAATCTATGAGAGGGACTATATCTGATTCATGGGACTCAGAAGAAAATGAAGAATTGTCTGTCTCTGTTGTCCCAGAAAATATCTCTGCTCAAATTGATGTTAAAATTGCCATAAAGCATTGTTGATTTATTTAAGATGAAATGATCTATTATTACATGTCTATAATTTGTATTTAGATACATTATATTTATTTTCATTTTTTTCTAGTTGAATTTTTCACCTATATTGCATATGATCCATTATTGTACATAATTAGATTAGAAAATATTTCTATTTTTATGAATATTACCTTATGAAAATTGAGATGCACGTGAATTTGTTTTACTCATGCTAAGTCTGGAAAAAAACACTATATAATTCACTATTTTTTATCCCCAATGTTGAATGTGTTAAAATTATTCAACTATTTAACAAGAAAAATCCCAAGTTGATGTTAAAAATTGCTGCAAAACATTGTTGATTTATTTAAGATGGAATGATCTATTATGACATTTATTTAAGACGGAATGATCTATCATGACATGTCTCAGATTTGTATCTAGATAATTTATTTAAGATGGAATGATCTATTATGACACTTATTTAAGACGGAATGATCTATTATGACATGTCTCAGATTTATATCTAGATAATTTAAGATGGAATGATCTATTACAACATTTATTTAAGATGAAATGATCTATTATGACATGTCTCAGATCTCAGATTTGTATCTCGATAATTTATCTAAGATGGAATTTTCTATTATGACATTTATTTAAAGCAGAATGATCTATTATGACATGTCTCAGATTTGTATCTCGATAATTTATTTAAGATGGAATGATCTATTATGACATTTATTTAAGACGGAATGATCTATTATGACATGTCTCAGATCTGTATCTAGATAATTTAAGATGGAATGATCTACTATGACATTTATTTAAGATGGATTGATCTATTATGATATGTCTCAGATTTGTATCTAGATAATTTATTTAAGATGGAATGATCTATTATGACATTTAAAATGGAATGATCTATTATGATATGTCTCAGATTTGTATTTAGATACATTGATTTATTTAAGATGGAACGATCTATTATGACATGTCTCTAATTTATAATTAGATACATTGAATTTTTTTTCAATTTTTCTAGTTGAATTGGCCACCTATTTTGCATAGGATCCATTACTGTACGTAATTAAGTTACAATAAAATTATTTTAATTAATAATTCATTATGAAAATTGAGATGTAGAAGAATGGTGGTCCCCTTTATTATAGATTTGGGGAGGGCTGTATCATAGATGCGATGGGGACACAAGACTCTTGCACTGGCCTTATGTGTTGCACTTAGCTAAATTTATTTAAGTTATATTTATATATTAGTTCATACTTACTTGTCATTAATTTTGATGTTTCTGTCTTCTACTTCAATGGATTCATTTTCACCGTCTTTGTCATCCATTTTCCAACACAGCACATTATCTGCTTCTTTTTTCAATCCTTCTCTTTCTTCATTCTTCTCTATCCCCATTTCTTTTCCATTTACTCCTTCTTCATATATTTTCTCATTCTTTCTTTTACCTTCTTTTATTGCTTCTTTCTTATCAGCAGCCATTTTATCTTCACCTAACATCTTTCTTGACCCACCTTCACCATCCGTATCTATGTTGTTATTTTTTGATTCAACATTAACTGAATGCTTCGGCCCAGTATACAAATCCATTTTAAAGTCACAGTTACTCTCAATTGGCTCCTCCTCCTTCTTTGTTTTCATATCCTCTTCCTGCTCCTTTTGTATTTCTCTCTCTATCTTCTGCAAACTCTCTGCCTCACTCATCACCTTCTCCTCAACCTCTCTCAGACTTTTCTGTTTTTCTTCATCCACTTCTTCCCTTGCCAAATCTTTCTCTTGTTCCTCTTCTTTCTCCTCTTCCTTCGGCCTCTTTTTCTCAACCTCTTTTATTTTGCTTTCCTCTTCTCCTTTCTTTGTTTCCCCATTACCCCCTCGCTTTCCTTCTTCTGCAGCTTCTTTTTTTCTTTCTTCTCCCTCTTTTGTTTTCTCCTCTTCTTCTCGCTTTTTCTTTACTTCTTCTTCTTCCTCTCTTTTCATCCTTGCTTCCTCTTCATCTTTCTCTCTTTTCATTCTTTCATCATTCTCCTTCATCTTACGTTCTTCTTCCTCTTTTCTTATTCTTTCCTCTTCTTTCTTCCTTCTCTCCTCCCCGTCTCTTTTTATTCTCTCTTCTGCATCTTTCTTTCTTTTCTCTTCCTCTCTTTCCTTTTTCTCCTGTTCTTCTTCTTTCTTCTTCTCTTCCACTTCTCTCTTCATCTTCTCTTCTTTCTTCTTCCTCTCCTCCTCTTCTCTTTTCTTTCTCTCCTCCTCTTCTCTTTTCTTCCTCTCCTCCTCTTCCTTCTTCTTCCTCTCCTCCTCTTCCTTCTTCTTCCTCTCCTCCTCTTCTTCTCTTTTCTTCTTCTCCTCCTCTTCTCTTTTCTTCCTCTCCTCCTCTTCTCTTTTCATCCTCTCCTCCTCTTCCATCTTCTTCCTCTCCTCTTCTTCCTTCTTCTTCTTCTCCTCCTCTTCCTTCTTCTTCTTCCTCTCCTCCTCTTCTTCTCTTTTCTTCTTCTCTTCCTCATCCAGCATCTTCCTTCTCGCTTCCTCTGCTTTTTTCTTCTTCTCCTCTTCTGCTTTTCTTTTCTCTTCTTTCTTCATTTCCTCTTCTTTCTCTCTTTTTATTTTTTCTTCTTCTGCTTGTCGTCTTTTATTCTCTTGCTCTTTTTCAAATTTCCTCTCCTCTTCTTTTCTCCTTTTCTCTTGAACAATTCTGTATTCTTTCTTTGTCCTAGAAAAGATGCAAAAATATTTACATATTAGGAATTACTTACAACTGAGATTTACTATATTATATAAAACCATTCAACAGCATAGATTCACCTCAGAAGCTCATACTTTTATAATTTGTCTGATAAGTTCATATAATCTAGTCACAGCATTTAGGTATATGTATAATTATGTAGCAAGCTAAACACAATGTTGAGTAATCCTCAATGAAAATGGTAATAGGATAAAAGTATTCAGTTATTCATGTCCTTTTGTGAGATCATTGTAAACAGCATACGGTTATTTCATGTTTAATGCAAAGCCACAGATAATGATTTTATGATTGAAGAAACATTGGAAATAATTTTTCTATACAAATATGAATGATTTGGGTTAATGGATATAATGACATAAGAATCCTTGATGAGCCATCCAGGGTTTAAATCAATTTATACTTGAGTCTATAGCCTAATATTAGTTGTTTATTTATACTTGAGTCACTAGGTGAATAGTGGTGTTTTATTTAAACTCAAATCTATAGCCCAATATTAGTTGGTTATTTATACTTAAGTCTATAGCTTAATATTGTTTGTTTATTCATACTTGAGTCTACAGGCAGATATTATTTATACTTGAGTCTATAGATAAATACTGGTATTTTATTTATACTAGAGTCTATAGCTTAATATTGGTTGTTTATTAGTACTTGAGTTTATAGATAAATACTGCCATTTTATTTATGAGTCTTTAGGTAAATATTGGTTGTTTATTTATACTTGAGTCTATAGTCAGACATTAGTTGTTTTTTATACTTGAGACTGTAGTAAAATATTGTTCATTCTTTTATATTGTCTATAGGTAAATATTGTTGATTTATTTATACTTGAGTCTATAGCTTAATATTGGTTGTTTATTGATACTTGAGTTTATAGATAAATACTATTATTTTATTCATGAGTCTATAGATAAATATTAGTTGTTTATTTATACTTGAGTCTATAGGAAGACATTAGTTGTTTTTATACTTGAGTCTATAGATAAATACTAGTATTTTATTTATACTTGAGTCTATAGCTTAATATTGGTTGTTTATTTATACTTGAGTCTATAGGCAAACATTAGTTGTTTATTTATACTTGAGTCTATAGGCAAACATTAGTTGTTTATTTATACTTGAGTGTAAAGAAGCTAATACATCAATAGACAAATTAATCTATTCACTTACTGCAGAAACTAAACACATCACCCTGACAACAATACAACAAATATTAAAATGTCAACAAAATAATACAGTCGATGAATTTGTTTGCCAAGTTGGAAAATATTTCTCTAATGATGACAATTTAAACACTACTTATGATACAGCCCTCCCCAAAAACGTATTGCTATAAACAGAAAACTATAACACATATCAATTCAGCATTTAATCTTCTTCAAACTAGTCCCATTCTGAAGCCACACATTTTATCCAACATTGTTTCCATTGATGGAATTATTTCTGTAAATTCTTTTTTGGGGGATAGCAAAAAGATAGAAAAGAAAAAAATCACAAGGAACAAGATCTTGGGAATTTTTTACATTTGTAGGAGTTGGGGAATGTTATACTTGGCCAAAAACTACTGTAGAAGCCATGGGCACTGATAGAATCTCTGTGGTGTGATGAGATGACCACACTCTACACATTTTCCCTCCAAGCACTACTATAAACAAAGTGAACAAGAATGTTATAACTTAGTGTGTATGCATGACAGAGTTCAAGGTCAATCTGTACCAAACGGCTTTACCCTATGTACAGTCCCAATACTTTTTTTATCAGACCTCGTACATTGATTACATAATACTTACATTTTCACTGTAATTTGCCATTCATCCGATAATTACTTAGTTAAATCACATATCATCAAAGAACAGAAAACCATTTTTTAAGCATTTCACCTCAAGCAAGGCAGGAGTGCCACAAGCACACAGGGGCTTACGGAGAGTGAAAGCTAGAGAAAAGAGTGGATGTAGTGGAGATTGAGGCAAGGAAAAAAAAGACAGTGATCAAGGCAACAGAAGATGGTGATTTAAATTTCTGATGATTGTATTTATTAGGGAAGCAAGTGAGAGGAAAATAGTTCCACAGTCGAGAAGTGCGGGAGAAGAAACTGTTGGAGTAGAAGTGGCGGTTACATTTAACTATTTTAGGAGCAAAAGGGTGGGACCTATATGCCAATCTAGTCGTACGTTTAAATTCATGAAGTCAGGGCGCCAGGGGAAAAAAAGCTCGTCCGAGCAGCAGCCATGGAAATATTTGTAGAAAAGATAAAGGGGGGGCACATCACAGGACCGATTACATCGTATGGCAACAATATTCAATGCACAGACAAATGGTAGATTTGCAGATGATACCAAAATCTAAATATTTCAACAGTAAACGAGTGGGAATCTAGTAGCCCGCTTAAATTCATGTAGTCGGAGCATCAGGGAAGATGATAGCTCATCAGAACAATTATCATGAAAATATTTGTAGAAAAGACAGAGGGAAGCCAAATCAGGTCTTTGAGAAGGTGTCTGAAGTCGAAATGTCAAGTCAGGATCGATTACATTGCAGATCCTTCTTTGGATTTTGTTAAGAACCTCGAAATGAATAGCAGGAGCTCCATACCAGATATGGCAACAGTATTCAGTGCATGGGCGAATATTACATTTGTAAATATGTAAGATGGACTCTGATGAGAAAAACCGTCTGGCACATCACAGTGATCCCACTTTGAAACTGGTAAAAACTAACCGTTTGGACGCTCAGTAATGAAACTGCTACTACTCCTATACAACACAGCGTAGAATACAAATACAGAAATATACTCACATCGAAAATCACCCACTTCTTTGAAAATGACTGAAATATTAGCCGAAAGCCCTTGGAACAATAATTACGACTAACAGTTCCCACACACCATTAGTACTCATAAATTATAAGGAAGCTCGAAAAAAAACTGTATAAAACTTACAAAATGTTCTTCGTGAAAACGAAAAGAAGGATTGCTGCCCAAAAACTCGTCAAAGCAGTTGCCATGAAAATATTTGTAGAAAGACCAGAGGGAAGCCACGTCATGTCTTATGAGAAAGTGACTGAAGTCGAGATACTAAGTCAGGATTGATTATATTACAGAACCTTCTTTGGATTTTGTCTAGAACCGCGAGATGATCGGCAGGGATACCAGATCAGAATTAACAAGAAATCAGACAAATATCTATCAATAACACAAAACTACTAAACTACATAAACTGTAAAAACAACTAAAAATTCTGCAAGCCTTAACCATAAAATCAAATAACCCAACATCAATAAAATTTTAGTTAATTTAAGACCAAATATACTAAATATGATTCCCAATAGTAAAAAAATGGAGTGATAGTAGAAACTTACGTGTGAAGATGCAATTTTCCACACTACAAACTCCATTCCACAGATGCAATGCTACAGTCCTCTCACTATATTGCTATTTTTACAGGAAATGTTCCAGCATTATACATTGAGTATTTCAGATCAAAATTCAGTGTGCGTGCGATGTTACAGACTTATTTATTCACACTCGTACACTATTTGTAATATTTAAATCCTAAATTGATAAAACATCAACGTTGTGTGACAGAGATTTTGTCAACATCTCACCTGTGCATCCTAAATGTGGACTGAATTTTAACTGCGGACTTCATTTCACGTTTCTTCCGTTCGTCTTGCTGGATTTGTGCCAAAACATCGGCTGTTTCCTTCTGTGTCGCCATTAATTCCTCTAAAGCCTGGATATGAATCTGCAATCAAATACAAAAATCACTGCTGCATCCATTATGAAAAAAAAAACAAAAAAAAGAAGAACTCATAGGCACAGAAGAAAGTCTTCAAATCCGCAGGTTTGATACCAAATTACTTGCCTGACAGACAAGTGGAGAATCATTTGTCAAGTAATTTGGCATCAAACCTGCGGATGATCCAACAAGTTGCATCTTTGTCGTGAGTAAATTGTTTTGTCGATTATAATAAATTATTACTGTTCTACTATCGGTATTGAGCCCTCCTTTGAATTAATGCTGTGAACGTTAGAACTTATATATTATTTTCGTTCGCATTACATATATTATATATATATATACATATAAAATATATATATATATGAAGAAATATAGTCTTAAGGTGTGCTATATTTATGGGATAAGTGCTCAATATCAGAGATAGAGCGTGTGTAAATATAAAAGTGAACATAGAAGTCAACACTTAGAGGCGACAGTCTGTTTCATGCTATATGCAATCGTCAGGCCACGTGTGCTGCTATTTTTCTCGGCTATTTATATATATACGGGTCAGTGGTGCATTGTGGGTAGTCTATTATGGCGGTTATTTTACCGGAAGTCGTTTATTTATTTATTTGGTTTAAATTATTTTGCTTGTTTTTATTTATTTTTATTTTTTGTTTATTATTTTATTTATTTATTTTTTTAATCGGTGTTTTTATTAACGTAGTAAAAGTTTGTTTATATCAATTATTTAATAGTTTTGTTTTGGTTTGAGAATTTAATTAAAGCTATTTGTTCTGTTTTGGGGCTGATTGTTGTAGTTTATTCTAACTATTTTTGCAGGAACAGTTTTTAATTTGTGTTTATTTGGGTTGATTATCTTTATTTGTTTTTTCTAATGGTAACTTTATCGGGATTGGTTTGTTTATTTATTTACTTAGATGAATTTAGGTCAATTTATTTTACTTGTATTTTTTCTCTAATCGGTTTTTAAATAACGAAGTATTTATTTATTTATTTTTATTTTATTTTATTTTATTCTTTTTATTTTTTTTTTTTTCGTTATATAACAGTTATAGCTATTTTTTTCGTCAGATTTTTGGTTTGATTTTTTAGTTTAACTTATATTTTGGTCATAATGGTTTGCTACTTTGTTTATTATTTACTTTATTTATTTGGGTTCGTTGTTTTTTGTTTTGTTTTTGTTTTTTGTTATTATTATTATTATTATTCTATTCTATATATATTTAGGCAGCAATTTTTCATTGATGCAGGTTTCATTAAATAATATAGAAAGTTTTGTCTATTTATTTTAAGTAAGTTCCTTTCATTTTGTATGATAAGCTTATCATTGAAAGACGAAAGGATATCACCATATTGATACATGTTTAAATCCAATCTAAGCTTTCGGCTTACATAAGCCATTATCAAAGATGACAATTACATTTCAATATATCAAACAATACACGGAAGAAACAATAATGATAGTCTGTTTTTATTGCATGAAAAATTTCAAAGTAACAACAAAGTCGTGTATACAATACGCGGAAGCGAAAATCGCATCGCAGCTCATGACGTCACACATGACCGCGCGAGAAGTATTAAGTATGGAAAGGCGTTGGTATAAACCAATGGCTTCAGTTACCAATTATAGGCATTTAAGAATATTTGTGGAGATTTCATAGTTTATTTTGTTCAGGTTAGGTTTAAACTGTTTTATGTATATGGCTTCAAGAATTTTGAGTTTTTATTTATTGTTTTCATGTTTAAGTATAGTTGTGTTTTCAACGAGTATTTTCCGGAATTGTGTACGCGGCCAGGCATGTTGTTTTAAATGCCAAAAATAAATATAACAGTTGAAACCTAACCTGAACTAAATAAACTATGAAATCTCCACAAATATTGCTGCAGAGATTAAAGAGATTGGGATTCAGCCTGTTAGTGTTCAGACCATACGCCGCACACTACATCAAATTGGTGTGCATGGCTGTCACCCCAGGAGGAAGCCTCTTCTGAAGGCAATACACAAGAAAGCCCGCAAACAGTTTGCTGAAGACATATCAACAAAGCCCATAGATTACTGGAACCATGTCCTATGGTCTGATGAGAAAATTTAATTTGTTTGGTTCTGATGGCCTTAAGCATGTGTGGCGGCGACCAGGTGAGGAGTACAAAAGATAAGTGTGTCATGCCTACAGTCAAGCATGGTGGTGGGAATGTCATGGTCTGGGGCTGCATGAGTGCTGCAGGTATTGGAGAGTTACATTTCATTGGGGAAACATGAACTCCAACATGTACTGTGAATACTGCAGCAGAGCATGATCCCTCCCTCCAGAAACTGGGTCGCAGAGCAGTGTTCCAGCATGACAATGACCCCAAACACACATCAAGACAACCACTGCTTTACTGAAGAGGCTGAGGGTAAAGGTGATGGACTGGCCAATCATGTCTCCAGACTTGAACCCAATAGAACATCTTTGGGCCATCCTCAAGCAGAAGGTGGAGGTGCGCAGAATCTCAAATATCCGCCAACTCCGCGACGTCGTCATTGTGGAGTGGAAGAGCATTCCAGTGACTACCTGTGAAGCTCTGGTAAACTCCATGCCCAGGAGAGTAAAGGCAGTTTTAGATAATGATGGTGGCCACACAAAATATTGACAGTTGACATGTTGCATGTTAATATTGACAACTTTTCCTAAGGGGTGTACTCACTTTTGTTGCCAGGGATTTAGCTTTTAATGGCTATATTTTGAGTTATTTTGAGGGAAAAATAAATTAACTCTGTTATATATGCTGCAGACAGGCTACTTTTCATTGTGTCAAAGTGTCATTTTGTCAGTGTTGTCACATGAAGAGAGATACTTAAATATTTGAAGAAATGTGAGGGGTGTACTCACTTTTGTGATACACTGTATATATATATATATATATATATATATATATATATATATAAGAAAGAGAAAAAGCGAAGAAGAAAACAATGAAGAAGAAGAAGAAAACTACGACGAAGATGGCGAAAAAGTGAGCCGAGTTCAGATTCTAACCGAATCTGCTGCGTTCACTTCACACACTGATACCCTCAGAAAAGGTGAGAATCTATCATACATTTACTATAGGTTAAATAGCAGAGCCAACTGAATTCTTTTGCTTTGGGTGAAGGTCTATAAGGAGGAAAATTCTGAATTCAAAATCCCCTAAACGAACAGGGTAGATTGGACTATTTAGCCTTGGTAGGGCAACCAATTCTGGAGAAGAATAACTATGAATTCGAAAGCCACCTACATAGACACACCAACTGCTGCTACAAGTTCAGTGAACACTCTGCCTTTAGATTTTAATGAGATGCAGGACTCACGATCGAGTACTGACAATTTCAAATTGTTTTGCTTTGTCTGACACATAGCTACAATAATAAGATATCGAGTGATATAATGGAATATGCATACACCTGTGTTCCCCCTCATTGGAATATTATTGGCTGGTGTCCGTCATAAATACCGACGGACGTGTAGGTATGACAGTGTCAAGAGCCTTAGTCTGAGAGCTAAGTCTATAACGACGCCAATTGGACTATGCCATTGATCTACACTTCTTACCTGCGGCTACGACGCGTACCAGTTGATTACTGCTACCGTATTCTACTTGGTTATACAGTGTAACCCGGATATAAGAAAGTTGTTGGGACCGGAGAAGAAGTCTCTTATATCCGGGTTTGGTCTATTTTATATACATTAACACAGGCTCTAATTTGGGACCAGAGAAAATCTCTCTTATATCCGGGTTTCTCTTATATCCGGGTTACACTGTAGTAGCCAAAACCACTTAGCTACTTCGTTCAAATATACCCCTACATATCATCAAGTATCGGTGAAATTCACTCGCAATGATTGGCAAAACTAACTTGAAAAGCACGGCTATACGGAAGGCATTTACAAATACAGGTTGAATATTCTTTATCCGAAATTCCTGGAACAAGAAGTGCTTCGGTTTTCAGATTTTTTCGGATTTTGGAATACAGTCTAATTTGCTTTGTATTTAGCATCTATCGATAAACATAAAATGATTTCCTTTTTTTTCTTTTCTTTTCCCATATGGGTATCTTCAGGACGTTTTGATATTTTAAATAATTTCTTTACTGAGCACGAAACACTTGGCAAGAAATTCACGAACGAAGGTGTTGCTGTGACGATTACTAACAAAAAACTGACGCCACGGTAGGCTACGTAGCTGGACTGGAGAACCACCACCCAGGGTAGATGAGATCACTTACAACAGCTGCACTTCACCTAGGAACCTTCCCAGTGCTTCCTGAAATTTTCCACTTGTGGCAAATCATGTCAGCACCTGAAAAACTTTCGGATTTTGGTAATGATTACCAAAATCCGAAAGTTTTTCATAAAAGGTATTCAACCTCAAACTCGTAAAATAATAAAACAGGAGAAAAAAAAAATAATTAAAATCAAGGGGAATAAATCTTATTTAAATAAACGCGGTTACTTCCCTTGAAATTATTTCGTTTCGTAAAATTTGTTTATGAGAGTTGGGAGCTGGCGAGCCTCTTGATTTTGTCGGTAGACAGAATACAGTGGTTTTTCTCATTGGGGGGGGCGATGGGTTGGATGGGTCCTACTAAAATCAATTATTTCTGGTTTGTTCATTTTGTTATATTTTAGTTTGGTTTCGGGTTCATTCCCCATCCAACTCATTGCATATCGATAATTTTACACGAATTTTTATCTCATGGAGTGTTTTTTATAGGTCCCCCTGTGTGTATGCGATATTGTGGTGCGTGGAGGATTGAATGATGACGGACGAGTTTTTATGGTGGATGTCTAAATTGTAACAAATGAATGGGTCGTGAATCGGTATATAGGGACGACCAACCTTAACCCAATCCGCCATTTTGGCCTTGTGCCACAATTGCTCTATTTTCGAGTAATAAATCTCTTGATATATCTTGATCTCGAAGATTGATATAAGATTCACTTGTACGATTTACCTTAGGTTTTATAAAATGGCATGGCCTTTCCGGACGCAGGCAATCATGACTCTCTACAGCTTCCCCTCTTTTATAATATGTAAATTACCATGCCTTCTTCAGAAATATACTGAGGATGTTTTCCCTTTGGCTGCTCGGCGGTTTTGAATTTAGAGTTTTCTTTCTCTTAGAACGCTTACCGCTCAAGTCTAGGGAGCCTAGTCTACCCTGTTATTTAACCCATGGTGGGGAGGAGAGACGGATTTGTTCCTTTCCAAGGAGGTTAGTGTAAAAATGAGCACAAGTGACTAGCCTGGAGTTTGAACTCATCTCGCCGATTCCACCTTCCCTGTTAATATTCGTTACACTACCTGAACAACTGTTACTTTGGCTAGGGTGACTGAAGTCTTTAAAGAATTCTAATTCCTACCTGTTGAGCTGCTAATTCTTCTTTTACTTCATTCTGGTGATCTTCCTCCCATCTGCACATGGCTGCTTCCTTTTCCTGGATGATAAAAAATATATATCAGGTCATCCCATAAGTTCTGTCCGAATTTTGAATAAAGAAAACAAGTGACCAATTGTTACATTTAATTACAGATTCAATCAACAATGTATTTCCCTGATTATCTATGACTTCCTTCCATCTATTAACAAGCTTACTAATTCCATTACTGTAAAATTCTTTTGCCTTTGATTCGAAGAACTCACAAATGTCAGTTTTAACCTCTTCCTGTGTTACAAAAGCTGTTTCTTCCAAATGATTCTGTAGCTACAGAAACAAATGATAGTCTGAAGGAGCAAGATCAGGAGAATAAAAGGTGGATGAGGAATTTTCTCCCAACCAAGTTCTTCGATCTTTTGTGACGTGATTCTTGCTGTCTGGGGTCGCGCATTGTCCTGATGAAACATCACCTCTTTTCGATTCACTAGAGCAGGTCTTTTTTCCCTCAAAGCTTGGTTCAAACGCTCTAATTGCTGACAGTATATTTGAGCATTAATTGTTGCATTAGGTGGTAAGAATTCAAAGAGAATTATTCCTTGGCGATCCACCAGACTGAAAGAAGAACCTTTTGCCCATGAATTTCCTTCTCGGCTGTGGCTGGGGTCCTTCCCTTTACCAAGCCACTGTCTACGACTGGCAACATTTCGATAAAAGAACCATTTTCGTCGCCAGTCACAAGTCTATCAAAAAAGGTGAAACAAGTTGGCGAGAATGGAGAGAAGAGCAGATGTCAACTCAGGATTTGAGGTTGTTTTCAGACAATTCATGAGGCACCCCATTTTCCAAGTTTAGGAACTTTTCAAGTTGTTGAAGATGACGATGAACAGTTGTATGGTCTGAACTGAGAACCACTGACAATTCCTCAACTGATAAAGCAGGATTTTCTTCAAGGGCTGCTTCAAGAAGCTTTTCATCAAACTCAACTGGACGTCCGGTTCGATCTTCATCTTCAAGGGTGAAATCTCACCTCTGAATTTTGCAAACCATCTTCTGCAAGTTCTTTCATTCACATTCCTCTCCATAAACTGAGTGAATGTTTCTAGCCGCTTCGGCTGCTGAGTTTTTTTTCTTGAACTCATAAAGCATTATGCGCCTCAAATGATTCTTGGGTACTTCCATGTTAGCAGGGTTTTAATCAAACAAAATTTAATTTTATCGTTCTCTGAAATAAAATTTGATCAGTTTAAATGCATCTAAACATAAAAATAATGTTCAGTTCCATTAGACATTATAAAATACTCTTTAAATTTCGTTCATTTTAACAAAAAGTTAAAATTCGGTCAGAACTTATAGGATGACCTGATATTTATGCACCAACTGTTTATAATATATATATATATATATATATATATATATATATATCTTTGGAATTATATATATATATATATATATATCTTTATATAATCTTTTTATATATATATATATATCTTTTGGAATTATATATATATATATATATATATATATATATATATATATTTCTTTTATTATATATATATATATATATATATCTTTTGGAATTTATAGATATATCTCTTTTGAATTTTACATATATATATATATACATATCTTTTGAATTTTATATATATATATACATATCTTTTGAATTTTTATATATATATAAATATATATCTTTTTGAATTTTATAGATATATATATATATATATATATATATATATATATAGAATTACACACACATATATATATATATATATATATATATATATATATATATATATATATATATATTAATGATATATATATATCTTTTTTGAATTCGTAGGTCAGATGAATTGGATCGCGATTACGATTCCAGTGTAATAAATTATGACATCGTCCTGGGTATGACAGTAAACTACATCCGCGTCCTGGGTACGACGATAAACTACGTCCAGCAGCAAGGCCTCTGATCAGGAGGTTTTGAGGAGCGTGGAACCACCTCTTAATTGCTGGTGTTCCCAGGTTCACCCTGACCCATGATGGTAACACCTGTTAGGGTCCCAGCTATGGGCAAATAGTTAACCCTGAAACTGGAGTAGAAACCCTACGAAAGTGTAAAAATAGGTTTTAATACCTGAAATACTTTGTAAAAAATTATTACCAGCAATAAATTTTTGAAGAAAAAAAACTATCACCAACAATACATTTTTGAAAAAAAAATTGAATTACTTGCGTTACATTTTTGAAAGAAAAATATTACCAGAAATAGATTTTTGATAAGACAAAATATTACCAGCAATAAAAATTTTGTCGTCATTACATCGTCGGCATTGAGGTTGATATGCCGTAAAACAAAACAAACCAAACCAAACCAAGCCTTAAAACCAACTGACCGAACTATAAATAACCAGACTAACTTATTACCCAGCATCAACGAACTCTCACTTGCTTTGTGGTCGAGTTTATTTATTGCATATGAGCACAATAACTTTATTTTTTTTTAATAAATCATTTTATTATCTTTTTTCAAATTTCATAGTTTATGCTTTCCTTTTATTTTATTTTTCTTTAGTTGATTTTTATCGCAAATTTTACTCGGGCCATCAATCTAAAGCGGAGAATAGACAGCTCATAATCGAAAGTACAGTGTAACCCGGATATAAGAGAGTTGTCGGGACCGGAGAAGAAGTCTCTTATATCCGGGTTTCTCTTATATCCGGGTTTGGTCTATTTTGTTTAGGCAAGTATGGGCTCTAATTTGGGACCAGAGAAAATCTCTCTTATATCAGGGTTTCTCTTATATCCGGGTTACACTGTAAAAGAATAGCAGTAAGTATAGCGTATTTTTTCAGAATATACACGTCGCTACAGAAGGTGCCAAAAAAGGTTGAGGTTTAAAGTGGGTTTAAATCGGCAATACCATTAAAAAAAATGCTCAATCCCCCCACCTAGGTACTGTAATGGCTCCAGCCTCCTCCCAATGATAAGGTACTGCCTAGAGGGATACCACCTTGGGGCTTGAGCTTAATATTATTTTGAAATTACCTCAGTTGAAGTCAGACGAGAATTAGTCTGACCATTGCGTTTACGATTTATCAGGGGGAGATAACTTTAGTTGAGATTTATGAAAGTCACGTCCCTTACAACCAAGCTCAGAGAAAAAAATAGACGATGTCAAATAAATCTCAAAGTTCTAAACATCAAGAAATATACCATATGGTTGCCTAATTGCTACGGAGTTAAGAGGCCAATTAAATATATCTCATAAAATAAATCATAAAATAAAAATTTAAAAATAAGATATTTTATGAATCCTACATGCTTGTAGTAGTGAGTCCTGATAAAAGTAAAATATATAAACAAAAAAAATAATTCAAATTAAAATAAGGCATTTGGGCTTTTCTTTAAAACACTCTCTCTCTCTCTCTCTCTCTCTCTCTCTCTCTCTCTCTCTCTCTCTCTCTCTCTCGCTCTGAACTAGCAAGAAGGCAACCCTCAAATAAAAAGAGGCAGGACCAAAGCCTACTAATTTGTGACTAAAACCTAACAAAAATCAGGTAGTCTCCATGTATAACTTATATTATAAAAAAGAAAAAGAAAGGAACACAGGAAAAGAAAATAATTTGGGCCAATCAAAAAAAATTAACTCAAAGAGACATTTTATGTTAGCTGAAGCCAAGGTACAAACCAGAATCTTGGAGCATGGTCAAAAGGATATAAGCTCACACCTCTGAGGTAGAAGAGAGAAGATGACAATACAAGACGGAAGAAAAGACGCTATCGTCAGAGAAACCAGCCATGCATAATGCATGAAGAAATAGTTAAGAGGTAATTTGCTAATTATATTTTCTGCTCTTGTGATGGCCAAGAAAACACAGTAGACTGACACTGACCTATTTCTAATATTATTACTACCCCTAGCAAAGTCTGATTTCAAAACTACTATGACCAAGCCGAAACGGCCATTTCTCCAGACTGCTATTAATATCCATCTTAAAAACGAACATTTTGCTAAACCAAATACCAAAAGACTCACGCTAAAGCAAGCAAATAAATATATATTATTTGCATATACCTTTCACCACAGTCTGCTTTATTTCTAAAGTTTCCAGTAAAGAAAATCTTACCAACTTACCACATACTCCTCAAAAATTTTGATATTTTAGTGACATTATTGAAGTTTTTTTGTCTTGATTTTGATGTTTTGTGATGCTTTCATGTCCATAAACACAATCTTGATGCTCTTTTTGTTTTGTTTCTTAGACGATGAATTAAATGATGAGGAAGGTTTAGTAAGATTCCAAGACAAGAATAAAATTAACACAATAATCAATGAACAAGATATTCCATACAGTCAAAATAAGGAACACCTGAAGATGACCAGAAGTTACTTGGCTGAAACATCATGTCTATAATAATGATATCTGTAACAATCAAAGGTAAGAACAATACTTCAAATAAGTTAAATTATATTGCTAACATTTATAATTCACAGTGTTGTCAGTTTGTGGTCTCTACGTCTCCCACTATGGGTTAACTAGTAGGACTTTGAAAAATCATGGTTATTCTCAAAAATTATTAATGAAATATTCCACTGCAAAAAACAAATTATCCTTACAATACAAAATGTTACAGTGTTAAAGGGTTGATAAACCGTAAAAAAGCAAACCAATTACTGAGTTCCTAGGACTGACACATCATGTTGAAATGTTGGTTCTTGTACAATCACTGAAGTTAAGCAATGTCAAGCCTGGTCAGTACCTAAATGAGTAACTGCTTGGGAAGACCAGGTCCTGTAAGATTGGATGTGCAGGTGGTGAAATGCATAATGGCTTGGAATTTATAATCTGAGAGCTGAGTTCCAATTCCACTTGGGTTCGTTATATTCACTTTGACACAAATAGCCTTCAGAAAGGTATGAATTCATTTCTCCCACCATGCTATGGGTTAATTAGTACGACTAAACTATTATTATCTTCAAAAAAATATTAAAATATTTTCTGGCTTCAAATAAGAGTTGATAAGCCATAAAAAACAATCAATCAATCAGTTTCTGGGTAAGG